CACACACACACACACACACACACACACAATATGGCAGCCTTGCAGGAGCCTTCTGTCACAGAATTCTTTAAATTGAGATTGCATATACAAGTGCCTGCTGCCAAAGCAGAGGAATATTTCTCCACACTTAAAAACACTAAACCCCCCCCCCCCCATGCGCTTTTGTAAGTCTCTGCACCTCACTTGTGGCCTCCTCGCAGGCATTTTTGCATGATGTCAAAATGTCTGGATTGCAGTGTAGCTCGTAGCTGCCGATTTTTGTAAAGTGGGTTGGGCGGTTTTCCATGGAAACGCCCAGAAGCCCTCAGCCTTTTGCTGTGCTGTGGAGGAGCTGCATTTAATGTCCTAGCATGCACTGCAGACAGAGGCGGGTGTGCTCATGATGTTAAGGTTCCAATCAAACTGTCCGAGAGTTGAGAGCCCAGTGTGGGAAATGTAGCGTGGGCCCATACTGAGCGCACACACACACACACAAACACACACACACACACACACACACACACACACACACACACACACACGGAAGCACTAGTTGATTCAGAATGAGAGGACGGCTGTTAAAGTGCAATATCTACATGTAACTCAAAATCAAGAGACCATCATCATCGCCATCTGCTGGAGTTGTCCATCTCTGAGTTTCCCTGATAACCGTCAGCTGTGGTTGGCACCCCCACCCTGGGTAGAGGGGCTGCGGTACCCCCTACTGGCCAGGGGGGGTGTTATAGCAGACAGTCAGTGTTGAGAACCGCCTGGTTTCTTTGCATTTTCTTTAAAACAACTATCTCCATGCTGCTGCCGTCTGACGACAACAAGTCACCTGACGATGACAGAACTGCGATGCGTCCCACAGATCTAGAGCCAGTTTTTTTTTTCTAAAGTTGTGCAGAGGGAAAAGTGGACTGACCCATCGCTGAAAGAAAAACGAATGCTGGAGTGGAGTCGCAACCACTAGCCAGATACCCCTCCGAGTGGCAAAATCTCCTTACAGCACAAAGCAAGAAGAGCATTTCCATGTGCAATTTGTTTCAGTGGAAAAAAAAAACAAAACAGGCAATGTCCTACATTTGCAACAAGCTCTCCTCTGTATTTCACACTAGACAAAACCTTTGCTTGAAAAAAAAAAATAGAAAAAAAGTGTTTACATGTTTACATTGTGCAGTGCTGCATATGCATAACACCCTCAGTGTCATCCGATCTGGACTGTGGTACAACTCGACACAAAAGTGTCCTGACAAAACATCTTTTTTGTTTAGTTTTGTTTTTTAAGAAAACAGCAGAATTGATCAAGCAGGTGAGGGTGGAGGAGAGTTGCGGCGGGTGAGTTAAGTGAAGAGCTAACAGTATCTGCTCCCTGATGCCAAAGGCCATGCTAGGGGAGTGGGGGGGGTCCAGGCTGGAGGAGGGGAGCTGCCAAGGACAAAGCCCTCCTCCATGGGGTCGAGAGGGAAAGGAGAGTGTATTTCTTTCTTTGGGTGCTGGAGGAACTGTAATTATTTTCAGGCGTGAGTTCATGGAGAGTTATCTCTATGTGGGGGTTTTGGTTGGAATCCATTTCCCCCGTCACAAACTCTTTTGGTTTGTGGAAAGGCTTTGGAAATGGAGCGGAAATCTATATGTGAAAACAGTGAAAACACACACCAACAATCAACAGGGGGCACTTATGATTCTGGAGGTCCCCAACATCTAAAGGCATGCTAAACGGGTAGAAAGGTAACAGGTGCACAGAATAACTAAAGACTCTCCTGCAATAACAGGCAATGCCTGAAATAATTAGAATTAAGGACCGGCACTGTGTGACAAGAGGACAAATTAGAGACATAGAATGAAGTCCACTCTTACAGCATGTACTGCCTCTTGAGGAAATGAGATTCCTATTTGGGACTAAAAGGATCGTAAGAAAGAGCGCAAGAGAGGAGAAAAAGAGTCTGCAGATAGGTCCAGTATACTTGGGGGAGAAAAAAAATATTTGGGGGTTGCAATGGGAGCGTTGAGGTTTTGGTATCGGAGGCATGCTGCTGTGCTCTAGTCCTCCATGCACATGGGCAGGTTGACAAAGGTGAAGACGTTGTACTCGATCATCACGGAGAAGCAGACGAAGATGGCGTACAACACCAGGACGTAAATGCCCAGCTTCACGTCCAGCCTCCATTTATTCAGGTGGATCCCCAGCACCTACACATAATACGAATACATCAGAGAGGCATGAGCTGGGTCTCGCATGTTCCGCATGACATCTGAATGCGCAGTAGCTTGAGTTAAGAGGTGATAGTTGAATGCACCCTGATCTGACTCAATAGCACGTAACTGGGCAGCCAATACACATATCATGCAAATCTCATCCTGAAACTGTGATCCACGAGAGGCATTTTTGCTACAGCAGTGTGTCCATCGTTCCGTTGAAGCAAACAGATTTTCTGTAGCTGGCTCATTACTCATGTGTGTGTTTGAGATGCTAAGGTTGAAAAAGTGTGGATGAACTAAAATTATTGCAGTAATTAATACAAATTTAAAAAAAAAAAAAAGACCAAATGAAAATGTTTTTGTATAGAGGTAACATTTCTTTACCAACTGTGTTGAAACTCATGTTTGTTTGACACCGCATTGTGAAGTAGGAGTTGATTGCAATTCAGAGTTCTGGTCTGAAAGTCAGACATTGTTAAAAGGTAATTTTGCTTTATTTTTTCCCAGTAAGAGTTTCACATTCCACTTAATTATTGAATGCAGCGTGATTATCCACACCTCTGTTTATTCCAAAATAAATAAATTCATTACCTCCTTTGCACCAGAGGATCTTTCATAGGAAGGAGAACACTATAACACTGAATGTTTTACATTTTGATGAACCAATTGCATAACTTGGTTCAGTCGCTATTGCATAACAGTGACGGTAGATAAACAGCATCTCTGTTTGGCTACTATGTGAAAGCAGTGTGGATTTTTACTTCATACACTTCGAAAAAAACAAGTTGTCTTCCAGGGAGTGGTGAACATCTGGGACCACTGCAGCATAAACATCATTAACTATTGCTCACCGTGAGGAACACGGAGCCCAGCAAAAGCACCACCGAGTACACCAGGCCACGACTGTTGATCATCACCTGCGACGCACAAGAGAGTGACAACAATTCTCCTCAATCTTTTTCAAGTCAACATCAAAGATAAGGAGGAACAGAATTTTGGTTGTTTCTTACGCCAACACGCAGACTGATACAGACACGACAAGTTCTAGTAAGGTAAACGAGCTCCTTACCACTGATCCATAGCTGACGCACATGGTCTGTATCGCCCAGGGAACCCCAAGTCCCACGAGAATATCAAACACATTACTGCCAATAGTGTTCGACACGGCCATGTCTCCCAAACCTGCAACAAAACCAAAAGAAGCCATTTTATAAAGGAAAATAACTTTAAGAAAGGATATAAAAGATTTTTTGAGACTTTAAGGTTGAATAATCCCTTTTTATCAAATGTTTTTGCTGTTCTGTACTTTGATATTCTTCTCATTCAGCTGACGCAGGGCTACACCGAACTCTTTCCTCTCGTTTCTGTGCTTAGTTCCAACTTGTTCAACTCTTTTATTTGTATGTAGCAGACAACACATGCATTTGTAAATGCCAACAAACTTTGATCAATTATGGCTAAAATGCATGATAATGCCATCTGCACTTCGTTTACAATAAATACTAAGATTTTAATATCTAGATTCAGTTCTCCATCTATGTTCTATCGCCTTAAGAAAAGGAACATCCCAGAAAGCACTTTCACCACAAAAGGTCCTGGAGGACTAGTGATATGAAATGTGTATCAGGCAATATCAACGTCTGGCTCTCCACAGTGTTATTTACAGTAACTATACTAATAATAAATAACTGAGGAAATTGCAATCTAAAACCGTTTCAGAGGGAGCGGTCTACCTTGCCGAGCCACAATGAGGCTGGCTATGCAGTCTGGGACGCTGGTGCCTGCTGCCAGGAAAGTGATGCCCATGATGACATCGGGAATTCCCAGAGTGTAGCCAATTACAGTCACCTGAGAGAAATGTACAGTGTTAGAGCTCAAAAATAGCATTTTCTGTTTGTCAACCTGAACACCAAATACCCAAGTTCAATGCTCCCCTACTTAGCTGCAAATGTTTAACGGTTCAATAATAGTAAGTTCTTGCTTTCGCACTCACCATCCAGACCATAAAGTAGGAGAAGACGGCAATCCAGACGGTGGACAGGATGAAGGAGACCATGAAGAATTTCTCCCAGCGAGGCTTGGCACAGTTCGGGACGGTGAAGAACAGCAACAGGAGCAGAGGCCACGAGATCAGCCACTTCAACTGGCTGCCAATACCGCCTGCAGCAAGAACACATTGGCACAAGCGATTAGCCTCTTGCTCTTTAGTAATATGGTTGAAGTAAAGTTTATTGCCCACAAGAAAAGTACAATTTAAAGGCCATACCGTCAAATTTTATCATGATCATGATAACCTGTAGACCACATTTCCCACAAATCTTTGCACTTTATAATCAAATCTGGTTTCCCCTCTTCAATTATGTGAATCTGTCTTTCCAGCAACTGGATTGCTAAAGTCATTGTAAGAAGACATATTGTCCACTATCTGTTTAAGTGCCAACATGTGCATTTCTCTTTGACATTTGAGTTCAGTTTTGCTTATTTCAAGTGAGCAATACATGACATGAAATTGTTTCATACGTCTGAAATGTTACAACATTGTTACCCAGTAAAGAATGCATCCAAGTCTGCTTAACTACACACATGCATCGTGTAAATCCACAAATGACATACTTGGAATATGAAACGGAGAGATGGTTTCATTTTCCGGCTCTTCGCTGGGTTTGTCCTCTGGCACGTTTCCATTCTCGATTTCAACCTTCCCGTCAATCACTTGCGTCTCCACTCCATTAGCTGCTTGGACCAACTTCTGGCGCTTTCAGAATAAAAAATAAAAAATAAATTTAAAAAAATAAAAAAATGACGTCAAAGAGCACATGAGACAGAGAGACTGCTACTTTTGACTGCTGCGTCGCCGCCATATCTTTTATGCATTTTGTTTGAAATGAAAAACACATAAATGTAAACTCTCCCAGTGAGATAAGGAACTCTTTGGGGCTTAAATTGGAAACTTAACTCAGAAGTGCAAAGCTGCAAATAGAATACACAACACATAACAGCAGCTAAATCCTCTTTTTTGGGGCAACGACGTCAGGCTGTACCTCTGTGATGATGAGGCGACTTGCCATGCGCAGACGGGTCTTGGGTCCAAAATGGCTGGTGACCATGACACGGAGGCCGGCTTCTGGGAACCTGAACTTTGAAGGGCTGGCGTGCATGATCTCGTCCACCATCACCACCGATCCACGGCTGTAAGCCTTGGTGGGCTTGACTGAGGTTTGGAGGAATATGATGCAAATATACAAAAAAAAAAAAAAAAAAAAAAAAAATCATAACTTAAATTACCTGTGCATCAATCTAGCACACCAACACATAGCACTGTTTTCATTCATTTAAGTGCATCGTGGTTCAGTCAGGAAGTACGATGCACTTAAATGAAACCAATAAAATAGAGTCCCTGGTGGAGCATCCTTAAGACTAATTAAAACTTAGGAGCCATCAAGAGATATGTGCGTACTATAAACATCTGTAGTGTCACTTTGTAGTCTGACGCACTACAGTGTCCCGGGATACTAAGGAATATTAATGAGCACTCAACCAGGGCTACTTTGTCACCGTATCGGAGCTTAAGCTGCACCAGGCAAGTTTTTTATGTCAACACGCACCATTCCCATTACCCTAAATCACAACGTGGGCAGTTTTATAGACAGAAATCAAAACTACAGAGCAACAACGTCTCCTAAAAAAAAATAAATAAATTAAAAAAAAATAAAAAAAAAAAAAATAAAAAAAAAAAAATAAAAAAATAAAAAAATAAATAAAATAGTCTGGGTGTTTTCCAAAGCTCTGGAAATCACTCCTTTCGCGCCACTCCCTCATCTTTTACAAAGTGACCTGGAAATGGATGTTGGCGCCTTTATGTTGCAAGTTGTCTCAGCAGCAATGAGGGAAGTGAGATGAAGCCACGAACGAACACTTAATCATTCAGTTGATATGAAATATTTAGTGCCGATGTGGAAAAGACTCGCATGTTAAGACTGCATAAACCCGCATATATTTGCAGCACAAGTACGTATGTCAACGTGAATAAGACTCGCACAGAGCGGCAGACAAACTTCTCTTGGCTGAAATACTACTTTGGGGCTTTAGCCAATTCAGTTATGATGGGGCTACCTAATATAAAAAATAAAAATAAAAAAAACACCCGATCTTGACGGAGTAGCAGATTAACGGTCCCAAATGAGTTCTTCCTTCTTTCACTTCACTCTATCCTCATATCATGGAGGTAAAGGAGAGTTTAAAATCTTTGGCATCCCCCCCCTGGACTTACCAAAGTTGAACCGTCCCCACATCCCTCTGGTATAAAACATCACACACACACCAGCCGAGTTAACATGATTTCTGGGTACTGATCAAATAGCTTTCCCAAATTGCCTGGTGCAGCTTTGAAGTTGCCCAACAGTTGTGAATATTTATGATGGCACGAGAGAGGCAACCTCTGGCATCTTTGATCCAACTACCTCAAATTGTTGCGCAGGTGTCCAACACAAACAAATGTCAGTCCACTTCAGTCAATTTCTGCTCTGACAATACTACATATCTTTAAATGTTTTATTGGGATCCTATAACTCCTCATTTGCCCTGTGCTCACAATTAGATATAAGACGCAGTGCATGGGGAATAAAAAAAAAAAAAAAGTTCTGAAGTACACTTATTAGTTCAACTCTGCCTTATTATGCATGCAAGGATGCACATAAATTAACTGTGTAAAGAGAGCGCCGGCATTAACATTTCCTCTTGTGAAATTCATTACCACTTCAGGAGTGAGTGGGTCTACGCCCCAGAGACCGGCAGAAGAAAGTAGTATTCAAGCAGAAAGAATTGGCACACAGCAGCACAACACTGTTGACAGTAAGCAAGAATAAGTTTAGTAAGGCTAAACAGACAGGCATGTTAAGACTAATGCAGCCAAAAGGGAAGGGTTAAATCTCTGAGGGGTTCTGAAAAAGGTCAAAAGCAGGAAAGCAATTAGTGGAGAACTGCGTTTACAACGAAATCTCGCCCAAATGTGACATTAAAGATGGTATTTCGAATTTTTAGAAGTTTTTTTAATAAGTTCGAAACCCAAGACAACAACGTCCCCCGACATTAAACTGCATTACCGAAGGAAGATAAAGAATATCTTCATTATGCTGTTCCCATTTTAGTGCCCCCTGTATGCTCAGATAAGCTTCAGTTGCTTATCACTCAGAAGAGGACTTAGCGGGCAGAGAAGATGAATGGAGGAACAAAGAACTTTATAAATTACCACAGGGAAAAAGAAAAAGGTAAGAGGGAGACATTTGACGAACCGTCTCTTCAGGTAGTGCAGTTTGTGAGGTCAAAGGACTGAAGTTTTCTTGACCTTTCGGAAAGGGATTCTGCAGAATCACGTTTAAAAGGAATAGTTTGACGTTTTGGGAGATGCGTTTATTAGCAGTCCTGCAGAGAGTTGAGAAGTTTAATACCGCTCATGTCTGTCTGCTAAATATAAAGCTACAGCCAGCAGCCGGTTAGCTTAGCACACTGTTGCACGAGAACAAACTGGTGTGAACAGGAAAACCTGCTGGTGACAAAATATGCATACAAGCACCGCTAAAGCTCAATATTAACATTAAATATCTTGTTTGTTAAATTCATAAAAAAACTGAAGCGTAAACAATAACTTGAGCTCCACAGCTGGTAAGTGGCAGACTATTGCTTCGGTTACCTTTGGACAGAGCCAGGTGAGCTATCCGTTTCCAGTCTGTAGGCTAAACTATCAATCTTCCCAATATTTCCCAAAATGTTGAACTATTCCTTTATGTAAATTTCAACAGAATACCATAGAAGATGAAAAAACTCAAGTTAGTTCAGCAGATGGGGGCAATGGTTAAAGCCACATCTCCTTTAACAGAAGGAAACAACCACAGTCTTCCAGAAGTCAAATCGTCGCTATATCTCCATTTAAACATCCGATCCATGTTCGGACAGAATAATGTTGGGTTCCCAGCCTGTCTGATTAACCTTACCTGGTGAGATTAAAGGCAATGACGGGTCGTCATCCCAAACATAGGCATAACTAGTATTACCGTCCTCCATCTCACTGCTGGCTGCAGCGTTGCCATTGGCCACATTCTTGTTAGACTTCGACCCCATGAAAAGTCTCTGCATGCTGGTGTTGAATCTAGTAACCAGATGGAACATAATCCCTGAATTAGAAATACTGATATAATTCAGCCCAGAGTCCAAAAGGGAAAGAAATAAACAAGATTGAGTGTCAATATTCACATTTGCGAATGGGGTTTATGAGGTTCAGATGAAAGACGCCAACTTGTTTGAAATATATATTATGTACCATTAGCCAAAATAACCTGTTTACTATCCGTACTTGTATCGAGTGAATTTACAGTTAATGTGGCCCAATTTCTGAAAAACTGCATCAGCATAAACTGTGAAAAATGGCTGAAATGTGATGTTCTGCATAAGAATAGAAGGGAAAAAGTGTTTCCCAGAGGCAAATCACAAGGCTTTCATACGCAACAAGGGCCTTCAATAAGACCATTTGAGTGCCATTACATAAAAATGGATTACAAATTCACTACTGCTGCCTTTGAACAAAAGGTGTGCAAAGTAACAGCGACAACATCTAAGGAACAGCTCTATCCCTTTCAGAGGTTACACCTTCAAAAGCTAACATGAAAACTAATGTTTTGTATTTTACAGTTTGCAGCATATTCAAATTCAATGTCGTTCTCTTAATTCCACATTTTACTTTATGCCAAGTTTCTCCTCTGAATTGAGGGTTTTTAAACTAGTGATTCTTAGATTTTGTAGAGTTTGATGAAGCCCAGCACCGGCAAAAAGCTGTAAAAGATAAATACTATTTTACACTCAATTGTACAGTTGAGTTTAAATTTAAAAAAAAAAAAAAAAAGAGAAAAGGCTAGCTAGCTAGACTGAAAATGTTAGCTAAACACACAGAACCACAAACCATGAAGAATGAAGCAGGCTGGCCGTTTCCAATTACATTAGCTGCGTCCCAATTCAGGGGTCGCAACCGTCAAAGGCTGCATTTGAAGACTATCACAGCAGCTCAGTTTTGGGCCCAAGTATTCTTGACTAATGATATCCAAAAACAAATGGGCATCTTTTTTTTAACTCTTGGATTTTGTGTTACTCCTTTTCACAATTGGCAGCATGTATGCTATTTGAGGAGGAAAAAAGAATCACAGCCAAGCCCTGGAAGGTCACCTCGGCGCTCCGATCGAGCTATATAAAACCCACTTTACACCATTTGGACTGGAACAGCCCAAAGTGGTCAGCGGATATTTTTGAGAGAGGGCAGACATATAACAGCACATACAGTAAGCACTTCTTTCCTCCAAATGAGAAAGGAGAGGAGTGATCCGGTTAAGCCCGTGCTCTTAGCCACTGCAGAGGGAGAAAGATTAAACTCTTATGGCAGGGAGAGAGCAGGCTGCTGCAGACTAACAGATTACCAGCTGGACAGAGACAGCGGCACAGGACGACGTGGGTTGGCATTATGCAGCTTGGACTATAAAAGACACAAATGTGTCGTGATAGATAGAGTCTGTATTTTGTGCAAACAGTTTGCTCATGCAAGCAGAAAGGTAACAGATTAAATGAGACAGGGGACGAGACGTTTTTCGGGGCCGATTGTAACCGAATTATGTGAATGGATGCACACGCCCCAGACAATAGACGAAGAAGAACCCCTACTCTGACTCTAATAATCAAATGTTCAGTGTCATGGGGCAAGAGTTTTATAAAACACATAGGAAACTACTAAAGTTAATTATCTGGAGGATTCTATGTGCAGCATATTTTTCAATCAATTATATAAAATGAATAGAAATTCTGATATCTAGCATACTTGTCAAAGATTCATAAATAAGAAAATGTAAAATTGTGTCCTTACTGCGTGAAATCGTATTATAAAATAGTTTCCACCAGAAGGCTCCTGAGCTTAATCTTTCTCTAACATCTGGGATAAGTGGACATGAATGAGACCCTCCCCTCCAGCTGGAAACGCACTCTTCTCTTGTGAAACTACCGAGTGCTCTCCTCATGCTCAAAAAAAAAAAAAAGGTATTAGAGCGCAGAATTACAGCAACTCTCCCCAAGTTTACACTATGGTTGTTGCAGTGGGAATGTGTTAGTCAGCTCGAACAACAACTGAAAAAACAAAAACGTGCAGAACTCACTTCATGATCAGGATATATCCAACATACATGACCACCAGTATCAAACTCTCCCACCTGGTGAGGATAAAAATACAGGGTTAATTATAAAACAATGAATTCAGGTTCCCACACACTTGAAATAAATCAGTGTGTATGATTTAGTAGCATTTAGCAGTGAGGTTGCAGATTGCAACCAACAGAATACCCCTCCGCTCACTCCACCCTTTCCGAGACTGCTTTAACGGGAGCTACCGAGTACAAACCCGTGGTAACGCCATGGTGTCTTTCAGGACCTTCGCCTCGCCTACTTTCAGAGCAACGTAATTCAGAAGGTGGGTGGCAGTTGCACGGCTTTGCACTCAGCAGCTCACATTACCACAGTTTCACAACTGAGGACTACGGTAGCCTTCAGGTAATGTAAAAACACAATAGGCTCTCTCTAGAGCCAGTGTTTGGGTTGTCTGTTCTGGGCTACTGTAGAAACATGGCCGTGAAACATGGTGGACTCCATGAAGAGGACCTGCTCCATATGTAGATATGAAGGGCTCATTCTAATGGAAACATGAATATTCTTTGTTTCAGGTGATTATACACTCATGAAAACAGTCATTAATATTTTATTCAGTTTCTGCCAAGAGATCCCCCGAAATCCTACACACGTGTCCTTTAATGTCAGACTAACTTTTGCTGAACAATGACTTCTGTCACCACAAGTAACAATTACAGGACAATGGTAAATTGTAGTGTAACATTAAGTCTGAATGGTAATGTGAGGCGCAGCAATGTCCTAAAGTTGTATTAAAGTTTATCAACATAATCGAAGTCATTGAGTGAAGAAGTGATTCAGGGTGTTTTCTTGCTTATGAATTTAGAGTTCCAATCATAATAATAATAATTATTTTAAAAGTGACAGTCCCGTTTTAAAATATGGACACATTTAAAGCAAAACTGGATGAATAACTTACCACTCTATCTTCCCATCGTAGATGAACTGAAAAAGAAAACATAGCTTTATCAAACTTAGGCCGATTTCAATTTTAAAAAATGCACGGGGTCCAACTTACTGCAATTAAAGCCAAAACAGACAGGGTGTAGTAGAAGGAATCCCTGAAAACTGCCCACCAGGTTAAAATCACCACCTGATTTAAAAAGGGGTCATATTTTAGATCATTGTGTATTAGGGTTCTGTGAAGCATTTTGGTTCATACATATGGTGTGAACCAACAAACTTAATGTGAATTTCACTTGGCAGAAAGAGCTTACAGAAGAAACATTGATTTATAATTAATTTACACCTCCAGAGTTTAGTTCTCCATTTCTACTAAAACCATTTTTGAGAAAGCAAACTAAAGCAGATGGCTTTGTTTCCCCGCTGCAAAAAAAAAAAAAAAGAAAGAAAAACAGACTTCTGCTCCACATGTGCTGCAGTCTATAAATAAACAGAAAGATGCAGCCGGAGCAGTAAGTCACTCCCTCTAGCACACGCACACACACACACACACACACACACACACACACACACCTGTCCAGCAAAGATCCCGCAGACACCAATGATGCAAAGGATGTTGAAGACCGCCGAGCCAACGATGGTCCCTACCCCCACATCACCGTGGGTGATGAAGACACCTGCACACGTGGAGAGGCAGCCAATCAGAGCCAGTGGTGACACCAACCATCTGGGAATGTCTGAATGTATACACATACTGTAGGGGTGTGTGGGGGTGTATGTGTGTCACTACCAATGACTGAAGCAAAAAGCTCTGGCGCAGAGCTGCCAGCTGCCATGAAGGTGGCTCCTGCAACATCTTCACTCAGATCAAGTTTCTGCAGAAATTAAGCAAAGATGTCTGGTTTACACAAACAACGGCATCGTGTGATGTTAACGCTGACAAATCAAAGACTGCAACTCCCAAGTACCTCACAGATCTTTTCCAGCGCCGTCACAAAGTATTCGTCGCACGTTATGGCGAGGGCCAGAAACATGTAGAGTGCCTATAGACAGAAACGGTAGAGTTACGCTGTGTGTGTGTCCCTGTGTAGATACATCCTTAATCAGCAGAAATGAGCAAACTTAATAGAGCAAGATGTTCTCCAGCTAAAGGACGGGTGAAGGGGAATCTCAAAGCACAGCATCCAATTATAATAGTGCCTGCATTAAATTCAAATGTCAATTCAGCAACAAGCTGTTCTCTCTTGCAATTTGAAAAATCTACAGGATCCGTCAGGAGAGATGTGAGAGAGGAGAGGTGGGGAGGGGGGGGCAGCATATTTCAGTAGCTGAGGAGAGATTTCTAAATTATAGATCAGCTGTGACATCATCATGGCCCAGCAGCCCTAGCAGCGGTGCTCTGCTCTATGCCATCCACAGGGGGCAGTGCAGGACTGCAGTATGATCAGACGCGTCGATCCCCCCCCCCCCCCCCCCCCCCCCCCCCCCACACACACAGTATTTTACTCCTCAGCAGTGACAATAAGAAGTCAAATTTCAGCGTGGAACATCCAGTTTGAGACACTTAAGTGTAAGAGCAGCATACTGAACTGCTCAAATCATACAAGACTCTTTATGTCCCGGTCATGAACATTTCTATTTGCGTCTCTAACCTTAGAAGGGAAACCAAACGTGGGCGCACACAACCCGATAGTGATCATGATAATGTTTTCATTAAGAACGCGAGAGAAGATGAGCACTCTCTAAAGTACCCTCGTAGGCGGGGATCTCTGCGCTAATGTAATCTGTGTGGTGAGAAGTGCTTAACCATGCTGTGAAGGCAAAGTACTACAGTTCTCACACCTCTGTTCTAACTGGCTCTGCTCAAAAATGTCAGAGTTAGACAAATCCAGTCGGTATCTTCACATCGTCCTAGTCCTTTTAGTATACAATTCACTGTGTTCCCTTGCCGAACTGCAGCGGAGGCATCGTAACAAAAATAAAAAAGGGAATTTTCGACTATCACTATGTGACAGACTTGTTCAACCTATCCTTTAATCCAACAAAACAATACATTATTTAAAGTCTCAGCATTTCTACCCCAGTGTGGAGAAGGCTTTGAAGCAACATTTCATGCTGAGATATCAAATTTCCATTCATGTCCAATTCATTCTGGTCAACAGTTTGAGCGGGATGGGGAATGTGTTACGAGGAGAGCCTCATGACCTCAGAAATGTCTAATCCTACAGCCCTGACTTGCATTTGACTAAAATAAACTTTTTAAAGCCAGCATGAAGAGCATTACCTCCTGCTGAACAATACCCAAGAACTCCATTGAACTCCACAGGTCAAGTCAGTTGGAGCTTAGCATGACTAAATAGTCAATCAGGGTTTTTCATGTGGAGAAGCAGCTCATTCAAGATAAATACATGTCCTGGAGACAAATGTACATTTATATAGGCCTCAGCATTGTTCTAATGAATGTAATCATTCTTAAAATTAAACTCTTACTAAAAATACTTCCAACGTCAGAGTTACACCATCATATTTATGAAGCCATCTACACTCACTCCTGAGTTGAAGCTCTCCTGTGAGAGACATCGCTTTACGACACTCAGAACTGTAAAATGAAATGAATGAGGTCTTGTAGTTTTGCAGCGGTTCCGATGTGCATGGGTTATATCCGCTGATTTTAAATCTAGTTCTACATTCTCGTACCGATTTGCTCCCTGCCCTTTTTTGTTTACTGTATTATACACCCTGTCAAATGTGGTTGTGCTTTGGCTTTAATAATTTAAGATAAATGTCATAAAATATTAAAAGTGCAATTACTTGGCTATTCCCAGAGCTTTTTTTTGTTTGTATCCCATGGCCTCTCTCAGAAAAGATCTGCATTACAGAGGACATGAACCTCCAAGCTCAAAGTACTACTGAACTGTTCTACCCATTTTTTTTTCTTCCCTATACATCTTCCTCTCATCTGCGTGCGAGTTTACATCTAGGAGTTTGTTTTGCACAAAACAGGTGAATGACAATTTGTGTGTAAAATCATTTGAGCATTAAAAAGCTCCTATGTGGCATCCGGACATCCAGGCTAAGCAAAAACTGCTACTATGCAGCGACTCCAACCTTTAAAAAGATAAAAACAAGCAATTAGTCTGCTAAGTAAAAAGCTTCTAAACCCACCTGCAACCAGCTGAGCTCTACTAAAAGTGTTGATTGGGGACAGATGTGATGGGAGATGCAGCAGCTTCTAAAAAATAAAATAAAAAATGAAAGTCCTCTTACCGCCGCGATGTGGAGCACAACGCCCCCGCTCTTACGTTCATCATTGGTGAAAATGTCATTGGGGAACTCGTGTATTGCTGAGGAGAGAGGAAATGTCACGGTCACCACACAGGAGCGGCACATCAGCGAGGTACATGTCCCCGACCCACCCAGAGAGGACCACATGACTTCATGATGGGCCTGGTGTGCCCTGTTGGTTCAGCTTGCTTACATTGAATTAGTTTGGTCATGGTATCGATCAGAGTGTCATCCTGACTGTTCTATCTCATCACACTTTACCATCTAATACAGCAACAAAATCTCACGTATACCTAAAAACAGGGCACTGCAGCCTGAAAGGTTCAAATGCAAATTAAATAGCAGCCTGTGATCATCATCCAAAAAATAAAAAAAAAAAAAGAACCTGGAAACTCAAAACATCAAGGGCTTTGAATTTCCAAAGGACTGAAAATCAGCCTGCAGTATGTCACACCACTCGGCAACCAATGACTTCATACCCATTCATGGAAGAAGAAAAAAAAAATAACCCATCCCATCTTCTCAAAACCTGATGTAAAAGCCTGGGCTATATTAAGAGCTTGCAGTCATACAGAATTAAAGCCAAAAAAAAAAAAAAAAAAAAAAAAAAAAAAAAAAAAAAAAAAAAAAACCCCATCCATGCTGAGGACTCATCATCCATCACCAGAGCTCCAGCTGGAACACAGGGTGCCACCATACGGCCTACATCTCTGGGAGCACAACCGCCCCACAGTGCACCTGGCCTAAGACAGAAGCTGGTCGTCGCCCTGACGGGACCCGGCATCTGGGGCGATCTGCCTCGGTCCGACCCGTTCCTGTTGGGCCCCGAGCTACAGGCTCGCATCTCGTTTCTTATTAAACAAGCCTGTAACATACCTCTCATACTGCGTACACAAGTTACAGCTATCTCTATGCTACATTTAGACTTAGTTTATTCTGCACTAACAAAGGTCTACAGCCATGCAGGAGCTCCGTGTGACTGCACATGGAGCATATCGGTGCTAGCTGATGCTAATGTCAGCATGCCAACAATGGATGAAGAATTTAGCATTACAGTTTTTATTGATGTTTTAACAGTTCATTTTAAATTATATTCTTGAGCATGTGGCGATAAGTTGTTACTGTGATAATTGTTTGCCGTTTCATTTTGTTGTGCACTTTTAATTTTTAAGTTTGTGTTGGACGTGCAGCATCATTTGGCGTCTGGCTCTCAGTGGATAACTGATAAAGATCCAGCTGTTCAAACTGGGGTGTTTGTTGTTGTTTTTAAAGACACATTCTGTAAATAAAATAAAGAACATTCTTCAGGTCAGCTAGGGTTGCCAAGTTGTTTTTTTCACAATGACAAGTATAATATTTACCATGTTCACCATCTTAGTTTAGTGCTAGCATGCTAACTAGCGGTAAACACAGTACAGCCGTGACCGACGGTCAAGTATTTCCACCCGATGATGCCGTCAGGGGAGCACCAAAGTTGATCAACAGCTCATCTGATGGGGACATGACTGCTTGTGCTAAATTTCAGTTCGCTGTAGAGACATTCCACTCAATACCACAAATGTGAGCGTCACAGTGGCGCTACATGAAAAGTGAAGGGATCATCAAAAATAGGATTCATCATCTTTTTGCGATATTTCAGTCTGGGTCAAAGTGGTAGACCTTGCTATCCCAACATTGAAATAATCAGTAGATGGGACTGCTTTGCTGTGGCACTACTGTTCAAAAAATACAAATACCCAAGTGATGCCACAAACTGCTGTAGTCTGAGCCAGCAGAATAACGCTGTTTGTAATTGAATATAAGGCAAGCTTTGGGCCCTTGCCGTATATGGACTCGTGAAGTGGAACAGTGCTCACCTGAGACTTCTCACTGCATCTGTCCCATCCCCACAGTTGCCTGCATTTATGATATTCGGCGGAGTGTGCACACATAACTGAATCAGCGCAGCATTTGGAACACTGCACAGGCACAGACACTCTACAGTATGTGGTCCAAGCCCACTGAAATCAACCGATGCATTTCACTCATTTACGTCACATACATGGACATTTTTCACATCTCAGACAGAGTCTTTGTGTCATGGCTCTTTGATCCGGCCTTGATTTGAGGTCTCATTGCAGCACCAAGACTGCCTTCAGGACAGTAAATGCAACTGATTAGAGGACAAAATAATAATAGTATGAGTAATGTCTTCATGAACGCAAATATAATGACAATCTGGAGAACACCACGCTGACATGGGGATCTGACAGCAACATTGACTATTGCAGGCGGCTTTAGCTCATTTCACTTCCGACAGGTTTATGTGCTGAATCAAACGTGTCGGAAAGCCGCCGGCCTCAAGCAAAGGCGCAATCAATTACAGGATTTGTCAGCTGTGCCCTCAGAGGTGACTGAAAACAAACTGATGCCAATAGTAGGCTAAAGTCCTACTGATACCTCAGGGACAAACGCCCACAATCAAACATTATTCTACCAGCTGAAGGTTGCTCGAATACTTCTGAAAAACATAAAACCATGGGGAAAGTATCAAGTTTGAATCTCCTGCTGTCACCTCCTGCTTCCATGTTCAGCCGCCAAACCTGCAGGTCTGCCATTAATCAATAATTAAATGCCATTGCCATCCATGTTCTTTGGTTACATGTTCAGTCCCCTGCCTCTGTGCACAATCAGGTCTGGCTGAGAGCGAGTTAAAAATAGGTGATCACAAAAGGTGTTTAAAGGGCGCCGGCACAGCAGACAGAGGGCAGGCAGGGGTCACCTCCCCGTGCCTGTAAACACTCGGGCAGACAACGTCTACAGGGTTCGTCTGGGTCTCCTCACTGCAGAGGTCAAACCGGACGTGAACATGCCTCCACAGCCGTTTCCCCACACAAGGACAGGACGTACACAGGAGCAGGAAAACAGACAGGTTACTTAACTCATGCATCTCAAATGAGGCCCATAAATAGAACCATAAATAATATGGAGCTCAGTTGAACTGGGTATCATTTTTAATTAGGGAGTGTTGGCACACAAATAAGATAAAGTTTTCAACTTTCTGTCTGACGGTGAATTGTTCAATCAATTGCTTCAGCTCTAAAAAGAGTTTGCTTGCTATTCACCATTTTTGTAACATTTCATAAGACATTGTTTTGCTTTAGACATATGCACAAGTTGTAGCCTACATCTATCATGAAATACAGCATTAAGATACAGATTTGTAAAATGAATATCTGGCATTGTGAGCTAAACGGCATGTGCCAATATGTTATTAAATCACACTAGAAATTAAAAATCTTTAGGTAAATATCTTTAAGATGGCGGAGAGGAAGCTGCTATCAAAATGGAGCGTGTTCCGCTGAACAAAAGGTTGTGCGGTTGTACAAATCGGAAACTAAAACTTACATCTATGCTGCTGTTCTTGTGTTTGCGTGGGGCTGCCGTCTGTTTTGGAGGCAACGAAGGAGCGAGAGGCTGTCTGTACCGGCACGACAGGCAGGAGGTAAAACAAAAAACGGGTCCTGTTCAGAGGCTGAGCTACAAAATCTATAAATAAACCCTGGATTCTCTGTTTGGACACCCGACTGTGCCGCTTATGCAAGAAATTATTGGCAACAAGTGTTGGGGAGGATTTGATGAGATGCAGCGCTACCATCACTTTAGGTGTGGACAGTATGAAGATGATTAGGGGGAGGTCCTTTTTTCTCACCCCAGATGTATTACATAATTCAGCCTTCCCATGCAAGGTATAAATATTTCATTGAGTCAATAATGGTGACTTTAGTGTGCACAAAAGGGCCAAAAACATTTTTACCATATGCACCGGACAGAAAATTTTCATAAAAAAGGAAAGGTGTCATATCAAGTTAGGCCATGAAATAATTCAAGTAATTCAATAATTTAAGTTCAGCTCGACATGTTGGGCCCAGTTCACGCCGGTTTTTGGTAGTAATCGATTATTGTATACGTTTATTGATTAAAAAAAAAAGTGACAATATTCACCCGTTTGGAGTGTAACGATAATATCAGTTAACCCAATTCAATACGCAAGATATTTGGGAAACGGTGTAACCATATACGGGTTCAAAGAAAATAATTACATACGCTATAAACAAGAGTATACTTCCCTGGATTTGTTGTGGCACTGCTTTACTGCGCGTAAAGTTCAGTGATTTAAAGCACCGAATACATTTTAAAATGTCAAGTCATACAAATATCTCTACACAGGTCACAAATCTGCTCAGATAACCATTTATTGGCATATTAAAGCCAGAGCACGACAGCCATTCTTTACATTTGTGCAACTATTATTCCATAATCTGGTAATATTCCAGATATTATGGTGCCGTTACATAATGGAGCTCAGCATCGTGTACCGTCTGTTGTCCCAGAGATAGAAAGACAGGCAGGCGAGTCTCCACCCAACACAGCTACTGCGGTGGCCTGGACAAAAACGGACCGATATGGAGCCATGCAAAGTGTTTTCAGAGGAAAAACACAATGTCATCACTTGTTAAAAACAGCCGAATAAAACTATTATGATGTGAGCATGATGTTTTGGCGGAGGGCCCGGTGCTACCTTCTGTCACCAACCCACAGACCAGCCAAGTCATTAACAGAATACAGTTGACACTCCAGTACAGCAGTCAAGAGACTCTTCAGAGGAGAATGATTCCTCGGGGGTCATTATTAGTCGATTCGATAATTAGCTTACTCCAGCAGACATCAGTGAAGAGCATGACTCAACGGTAACCGACAGCATTCTTGTACACAACACCACCACGAGTAGCCTTAGTGGCAAATCTCCATGTCACACAGAAACAATAACTTCTTAAGAGCGCAGGGGCTTGGCTTAACCTACAACACACACGATTATCCATTTGTTGGGTCGATACTTTCACATGTACAACTGCTCTCACGTGCTCAAACACACGCAATTTCACCTGCATGAACACACTTTCATACCTATTGCACTTCCACGTTTAGCATAGATTCCCCTCAGCCCTTAATGTGACCGCGTTCATGTAAGAGTGAGTGTCCGGGGTGCTGAAAAAGGGCCAAGCTGGTGGACCCAGAAGACACCTGGTCCAATAACCTAAAAGGTGTGAGACGTGTGCATTAAGCTGTGTACAGGAGAAATAGGTACCGAGCTCGCTCGGGGGTGAGGTATGGATCTGCAACAATACAAGAGTAGAGCTGCCTCGACTACACTCCTTTAAACCCAATGTCCCTTTTCTCGGTTTGTATCAGCCAAAAGCAGAACGGGATAGAAATTTACGAGGTTGCAAATCTGAAGCAGAACAGAATGTGACAGAGTGAAAGCATAAAAGAGGTCAGGCGCGTTTGAACTGGGCAGCGCGGAAAGTGCTCTGTGCAGGTGCTCGTGCCTGCGAGCCCCCTCTCCTCTGCATTGTTCCACCGTCGGCATGCGAGCGAGAAGCAAAGCGAGGTCAGTTTCCATTATGCACAGCAGCATAATCCCCGCTTGTGTAATTCCCTTTTAAAAAGCCTCCTTCTGGTGTTTCCCTGGAGTGGACGACCCTGCATTCCAACGGTGGACTGGCTGCCTCCCTGCTGGCAGAGTTACCCCTCGTGTTGCCACCACAGTTCCCGCCTACCCAAACTCAACCATACGTCCCCCCAAGAAATGAAACTCAGGATTTGAGGCAAACAAGTGGATGTTGTATGCTGCCTTTTGTTTTTGCCAGCAGCAGAACTGACACAGCAGGCTTTTTACAGGACGACGACGCCACTTTGGGCCACAGTCACCCAGTTCCTCCTCACCCACGCCACTTTAAGCCAAACATGAGACATGTGCATCCCCTTGCCCGTGGGAGGATTAGAGTCATATCTAAAACCACTACAAATCAAATCCCGTCGGATTATTTCATAGTACAAACCCAGCCATACTAAAACCTTTGCTTTGTTGTTCACGGCTACTTCTCGCGCTGCTGTCGTCGTCGACTTCCACCAGGCCAATTAGGCCGCTCAAGGGGAGTTTTAAATGCATGGTATTAGCAGCATCTTTATTAAAAGCTAATTATTCCTCCCACAGAACATTAGCCACGGTGCTCTGCCCCCCTCCCCCCCCCTCTCCAATTTTCTTTGCTCCACATTTGGCATCAGTCTGTCCCAAAATGGGGAATATAATCTAATATTCTCTGTCCCCAAGTAAACCTCAAGTCAAATAGCAAAACACACATTTCTGATCACACTTCTGCTGCAGCCTTTAAGAAATCATAAAACAGTTTGATTTGGAAATAAAACTGCCAGTACTTTCAATCCACAGAGTTACTTGTTAAATTTAGGTGAGAGTGCATTTGTTCTATTCATCATGGGCCTGCTACAAGGGAAAAAAATGCATCTAAAGTTCTGCATGCGACTATTAAATAAGGTTGCATCAGCCCCTTCAAGCAGGAGTGCAACAAAAACAGTTTGGACAGCACCTTGTGCTTTCCAGGAGTTATTACTAAAAGACCAATAAAAAAAAAAAAAGGCACTTATGATGAATGGCTGCCTTTGCAGCACAAGTGTCAGGACAAGCAAAACAACATTAGCACCCTGTGAACCCTGAAAAGGGCTCCCTCGCTGATCACAGAAATAATGATGAGGAAAAGGCAGAGAGACCAAAGCTGGCCGAGTGTAATCTATGCAGCCCACAAACAGCGGCTTAATTAAACTGAGCTTCAGACGTTGCACACACTCAGCATAAAACGAAAAGCCTCCAATAATAATTCTCATCCAATCGAGCAGAGGTCCAGCCACGGTTAGTGCTTGGCACGCAAGTGCCATCGTCCACTGCTGGATCATCAGGTCTGGACAGACAACTGCTGAGGGAATCGGGACAAACAAAAAAAAAAAAAAAAGGAAAACATTTCTCGCTTGTTGTGAGAGTTGGAAACCAAGAACTCTACTCAGTTCTTGGCAAATGTGTTGATGGTAAACATGTTTGTCATACTAGAAAGACCATGAACATCCATTTATATTCATGTTATCTGTCCAGCTGATGATGGGAGACATGAGCAATAAATAGTCTTAACAAGTGCAACACGAACAATTAATTGACTGTAGTCAGACTGTCAGACTGAGAGAAAAGCATTTCAAGTGATCAATGTTGGATTACTTTTTCCCTCAACAACTTTATAGATTTTGCGTTGAGTGTCCTGAATCTCTACATAAGGAGTTGCTGAGTAAATATAAAAAGAGCCGAGTAAATAAGAAAAACATTGTATAATTGGCCTCATCTGTCAGATTCTTTTCCCCCAATTTAAGAGAATTTGGTCTAGAAGGCTAAATGACTTGGTAAAGTGCAGTATAATATATTGTGAAGGTCAAATCAATGTAGTGAAAAAATGTGCATCTATATTGAAGCCTTGCCCGGTTACAGTCAGAGACACTCATACTGCCCACAACATAGTTACTGGTCATCCGAGGTGCCTGAAGTTTATGACTGGATTATTCACAAGACCATGACCCAAGAACAAAGAGTCACATGATCGGCTCACAGTGACGGGGCAGAGCAGGGGCGGGATCAGAGGAAGGAGGACTAGAGCCGGTGAAAAATGTGTAGAATGTGAAGTACAGTCTGGTGCTGCCGGTGCGGAAGACATTTGAAAAAAAAAAAAAAAAAAAAAAAAAAAAAAAAAGTGTAATCCTGAAGGATTAGGAGGAAAACTTCAAGCACATAATCTTGTCATTTGGTGCTCATTTCAACAGGACCCCACTGTGCTATTCAAATGGTCTCAATACTGAATAGTTAAAATCCAGCGGCGTAAAAAGGGATGTTTTGCTTGTTTATATATAAACACAATGGCAGGTCACGGCACCAATGATTCATTAATCCTTAAGGGATGCTGCCTGCTGTGACCAGTAATGAAGTCATAGCCAGTTAGTCCTCACTGAGTGACACACACACACACACAGACAGAGTCATTGGAGGGGGAGAGAAAAAAAAAAAAAAAAAAAAGAAAAATCACAGAAAGCTCAAATGAAACGGATGTAGTAAAAACACAAGGCAATTCAATTGGCATCTTGCCATTGCTGCTGGTACATTTCAAATCAATAATATCATGAACAACATTGCTTTAATCTTTTTCATTGCCTGATGCAGATGTCAGCAGTGTCAGTGGAACTGTCAGCATAGAGTCCGGTATAACTAATTATAGGAGAATGTTGCTTCCTTTAAGTGTACCAAAGGGTGTGCTGTAAAATAATCAATACCCGACTCTTCTAATAGCCCTTTCAGTGCAAGTATTCTAAACCGAGTCAGAACAATAGAGGCCAAATTAAAGTAGCATAGCAAACTCAAAAACTCCTCAACTACTGGGTGCTATTTGGAGTTTCTGACAATTTCATTGATCGTCTTGGAATAATACATACCTATAGTAGTCAAGAATAGTCCATCTATGACCTTACGACTGCATTAGTCATGCCGTGTATATTCACTGGTGCATAAAGATCATCATATCTTAATATATTAAATATATCCTGAGAGAAACATCTGTCTCTTTAGCTTCTAAATGCTCCACTACGTTCACAAGATAGTCGCCAACTTTGTTGGTCTGCTATTTAGTGCCGAGTAGGAAGTGTGTAGCAGGCTTTTCATGGCAGTTTTGCTGAAGAAAGAAATTTTTTTTAAGTTGCGGGGCGTGAAAACAAAACAATGCACGAAAAGACGTAAAAACCCTTTGTGGAGGACATGTGAGGAAAACCACAGAGTAGAGTGACAATTCTCTGTTGCTGGATTAGTGGCTCTTTAACAGCATACCTGGCGCTGAGCAGTTCTTCTTCTCCGTTTCGTTGTCTGGTACTGAAGCCATTAGCCGTCTTCCCCAGTATTCAACGTCCGCATGTCCCTCCACAATCATCCCATGGCCTGCAGGAACCAGAACACAAAAACAGCTTTGCTTATCATCCAGTCAACATGAATTAAACCATCTAAAATTGCAGAAAGCAAGTTTGCTGCATGTGTTGGAGGTTAATACTGAAAATCTGCTGGAATGATTTAAAAGCCTTTTCTTTTGCCGCAGGGAAACCTTGAAACTCCATTTTGCACATTGCAAAAACAGCAAGGAAAACTAACATGGCTGCTCTTACACAAAAGTATGTTTTATGACTCACAACATCCATGATCATGGTCATTAATCCAAATAAGGTGGCTTTTCTTTAATCTGTTAAAAGTTCTCATTCATGTAGGAATTGCATTTTCTTCCAGCGATAGCAATAACACATCAACATGCAGCTGCCGTGCCATTATGTTTTTGGGGTGGGAGAGTGGGAGGAGGAGCGTACAACTTTCATTAAAATGCTCTTAAGCCTCCGTAATGACAAAAAAAAAAAAAGCTGTCCCAAATCCATTATGTAAAAATCGCCAACGACCTGAGCGGCATTTCAAAACTCAAATTGTCATAACATGTGACCACACAAGCGCAACGTTGATTCGACACAGCGGTAACTTGCTGCAGGATGATTTCACAGTATTGCTGAATTCTGTTACGAGCAGATCACTAGGGAATACCCTGACGACAGATTGTCTGTGTTTATTTTGTGTACAACTTGTTCAGATTACCTCCGTCTGGCTTGCAGTTGTAGGTTATACAATGGTTGTGAAAGACTTTGAAGCAGTGGACTCGCATGATCTCAGACTTTGTAAATGTCTCCCTTGACCATGTGAATGTGTCCGAAGGATCACTGAATTCCCCCTCTGGCAATGAAGTTGCGGAAGTTATGGTTAGGACAAAAAGGAAACGACTATTACGGAGATGTAAAGACTTCTTGGAAAATTTGACTGATTAGAACACCGAATGTTATATAAAATATTGTAGAGCTAGACCAAAGAAATCCACCAATATTTGCTTATTGCAGGTGCATCAGTATATACGTCTGCTGATCGGTTTGGAGCAGGGAAGAAGTTGTTTAATCTGCTGATTATTTTCTCTATTTATCGATTAAATAAAGAAGATGTTACTACCGTTAAAAAGGTTAAAACAGTTTAGGCACCGGTTAATCATTTTCTACTCTCCAACCTTTCACTTAATCTTTGTATAACGTTATCTACCTGGACTGCACGGTATTTTTTGGGTGTACCGACACCGAAAACGCGTCATTAAATGGCTTTTAAGCCGGTACAGTTCGACAGCCTGGCGATCAGCAGGTGCTGGACAAACAGACTGTACACAAGGCGAATGCAGCTGCTGCCCACAGCTCTACAATCCCCAAAAAAAAACACCAAACCATCCAGTCATCACTGCAAACTGTTCCCCTTCACTAACCGGCTCAGTTTCACTCCCCCTTTTTGATTACCGTTATCTGCTCAATGCTCACAACGCACACCAATGTAAGGCCAGGGGAGGGATTGAAACATGTAGACACTGTGCTAAGAGATGATCACTTTGTCATACTTGACAATAAGAGTCATGTGTAAAGCACATGGGCTGTTTGATGTTTGGAAACAGTGGACCATTTACATGTTTTGGGAAAGTTTGCATGACAGTCCATCCAAATGCAATTTCTCCAGGCTGTTATGTGTAGAACCACTTGACCGCAACTATGAAATCTTGTGTTCTTAAAAGAATGATTCCGTGTCGTTTCGTGCATCTCTGTGTCCCTGCGACAGTGCTCTGCGTGCTTCCTGCCCAGCATCTGAAAATGAAAAACAATAACGACTGATTTCTGTCGGGACTTCTAGGCAGGCTGGGGTAGGATGAGGACTGCAGTCTGTTGTGGTCATGACTCACGTTGATTAATTGTCTTAGTCTCCATGTTGAATGACCGCAGTGTTGTGTCGTGAAGAGCTTGGAGGTTTTGATTGCCCCTGATTAACCCTCGTTAGTTTGTCAGCAGGACATCTCAAAAACTTCGGACTTTCAGTGGAATTTGGTGGACAGGGAACTCGAGCCAAGAATCTATTTAATTTAGTTGTAAATAAAGTAAAAAAAGTTACATAACATTTTCTGACACCGGTGGTTGGCACACATGCTGCCAATTTCACAACTCGGAAACTGTGATTTAAAGAGTCTCTGGGATAATCTAGTCCGGATTTGACCAGTCCAAGTAGTGGTTTTTGAAGGAGACCTGCCTCTACCTAAAATGTCAAACATGCATCGGTCGGTCAGCAATAGAAGGTAAGTTTCCCTTAACTTCCGGATCGGCTGCTGCAATTAGGGAGCCAACTTCAGCGCCATCCTCGTTTCTCTGCAATGCCCACTTTCAGGAGCATAGTTAACAAACTACGAGTCGACACAAATACGTGGAACCGCTGCCATCTTAGTTGCGGACTGTGTGCAATGACAATCGCAATGCATTTAAGCAATGTGTGGACTGCAAGACTGGCGGCAACAGAATTCTCAATAAAAATTGAACTTACACATCCGAGGCCTCGCCCCCACTAGCCAACTCTGATCATAATGTGCATTTAGTTTTATCCCACAAGGCCTGACTCAAAAGCAGTAAACCAGAAGTAAAAAGAAATGCACGTCTGGGACAATGATGGCATTGAAAGTTGTACCGACTTTCACAGCTTCATCTTTGAGGAGGCCACACACACACACACACACACAAACTAGAGACTATATTAAATTCTGCAGAGACAATGTCCTAACTCAGAAGACGACAACTATGGCCCCAAACAAAAACCCTCTATCCCCAAAGACATTTAAAAAAAGAAAATGGATAGTTCAAAAATAAATAGCATTTAGGAGCAGGGACCTTGTGGAATTTAAGGAATGGGGAGGAGACAAACATGGTCCCAGCTTAACTAGGATGAGAAGGCCAATGAACTAAGTGACTTATGCAAAGCATGCTGTAAGGAAAACCGACTATAGACCGGTTGCCTTGACTTCTGTAGTGAAGAAATGTTTTTAGAAAATCACCATCAATGTATTGAAACTAGAGGTCAGTTCAGTGCGCTTACAGGTGCAGTTTTAAAAAAAAAAATAAAAAGGGGGGGGACAGACGATGCTTGGGTCCCCCCTCTGTGCAACTCAAGTCCAACTCATGCAGACTTCATTGTGGTAAAAAGGTTCAGCACAGCTTCCATCCCTGCAGTGGACCTACCAAAAGGCTGTTCGAAGGGCAAGCCAAGAAAATAACAGACCCATCCCATGTGCGACACACACAGAGCACCAGCTACCAGGTTCACTACATTGCTGACTGAATAGATTTTAAAAAGTCTTATCCCTCCTTCAGTGCAAAATCTAAACTGCAGCAGATTAAAAAAAAAAAATAAAGATTAAATTGAGATGGAACCCAACAGTGCTTTGTTTGTTTATTGATGAATTTGGAAGTTTTTTTTGTAGATGCCGCATTGGTGAAAGCCCAATCCAAATGTCCTACAATGTGGGACAACAAAGTGAATCTGGAGCTTAAAAAAGAAATTCAAAGCCACCGCATCTTTAAACATTGAATATTTTGGCTCATACTAAGAAACTTCAACAATTGGAAGTCACTTTGAGGTCTAAGAAGTTGGGATATACATTTGTTATTCATTTTGACATGTTAGTTTAAATTCAAACTATCATCATTATGACAATAGTGATAAGGCGTCAGTAAATTAACATTTTTCAATTTTAGCTGGGGTCAAGAAGTCAGTGCATCTTTAGTGGCTGATGGGGTGCACTATTTCAAAGTTGATAGTTACACCCCCCCCCCCCCAATCTAAAATGCCACATATTGTCTTGTCCCAGTGTCAAATGTGACTGTTATTAGTCCTCCATCTTTGGGACCGTTTGTCCAAAAAGACAAAATAAAAACATTTGAAAAAGTCGCCAGCATGTATTGCTCAACGTTGGTGAAGGTTAACATGCTGTGTGCCTTAAAGTTGGCCTAATCTATAAATGAGCACATCTTAAATGTGGCAATAAGGCCAACCTGAAATCCTGACAATTGCAGTAGTTACATTAAAAGATACTAAATCTACTTGCTACTTTGGAGCAGAACAAACAAAGAAATGAGCCCAAATGCGATAAAAAATAAAAGTCTATGAGCACATTTTGATTAAGACTATAGAGAGGGACAGCAGTTGCTGTCCTCCAGCTCTTTCCAGTCAGCTCAGCAGGGCGATGGACAAGCATCCATTAATCTACCGTGCGGTGAAGATGCTCACCTACCTGTTGAACCCCCACCCAGACCATTACCGTCTGCATGCCGCAGCTACCTGTCAGAGTCGAGCCCTGCTTCTCATAAATACCTGTTCTAGTCCACCCCATGCGCAGCTTCATGCACGCAGCCCCATCAGCATGCACGACAGCATGTTGCGCACCACCCCTCTTTCGCGGAGATATAACCCAGGAGTAGTACATCAAATCCCATCCATCTGGACCATTCAGCGCAGCAACACTCCACACTACTATCAATCAAACGGGTGGCAAACACATGGCACAGGTTTCACTGTGACATGAATGTGTGCGTGTCCTTGTTGTGATGGACGAAAGATGAGAAGGTCACGGCTGTTCAATTACACAGAGCGAGCTTTGGGTCTCGTGGGTGCAGAGGGGATTTCTGGTCATCTCTTATCAAACATTTCTCTTGCATGTTACCTTGTAATCCCACCACCACTGCATGGTCAAACAGGATGAAATTCACAATAAACGCCTTCTGTCAAATACCCCCCACATTACAATCATCGTGTGGGTCAGGAGAACTTTATTAAATGAAAAAAAGGCAAGCCATTAGTGACAGAGGGTGGCTTACTTTGGCTTCCAGTGCCTGCCTTTGGAGATAAGAGATTTGCACTTGCCTGTATGATATCATTCAGAATAATCTTTTAAGCCTGTTGTTTTTAATGTAATTAATAAAACTCCTGATACATCAGTTCGAGATCTACAGTCAGGCAGTAGTTTTGGGTAATTTACAGCCGCTTTCAGCTCCGGGGGGCCTAAGTGGTTGCAGATGGACAGATCCCATGACAGGGCCTGAAGTTTAGGGTTAAGCACTTTGAGAAAAGAAAGAAAAAAAAAATAAATTAAAAAATTAAAAAAAAAAAAAAAGAAAAAAAACACAAAGACCAAGCACTCTTCTCTCCCATGCTCATATTGCAATAACTCGTGAATTTAAAAAAAAAAAAAAAAAAAAAAAAAAAAAAAAAAAAAAAAAAAAAAAAGCAGCAAGACTGCGAGATTCATGTTGGCACATTTGTATCAAAGCGGTGTGTGTCAGATATTATTCACCAGCAAAATGGCAAGGTTGCTCGTTAGATTACATAACCGCATGTGAGACTGTGTGGGATGCTCTGCGTGTCAGCGTTGGCACTGGCCGAGGTAAGAGTTTCGACATGTGTGCATGTTGGTGTATGAGTGTGTCAGTGCCTGCATAACATCACACGCATAACGCATGATCAGCCATCTGACTTGTCTGCTCGGCGCACACGTCGAGCGCCAAACTACAAACATTAAGCAAGCCACCGCGTATCATCATTAGATAAGCTACAGCGGTCTCTGCGTAAAATCAAGATCCCTCGATGGCCATGCGGAACCGGGAAGCGTGATGATGCTCGAGGTGATCCTGCGTGTGCGCGCTCGTGTGTGCGTGTGTGTGTGTAGCCCCGGGCCAGACGTGATGATGCCAGCGCTAACCACCATCCTGAGCTCCAGTGTAGTGTGACCGAGGATATGCCTGGCGCCAAACCAAAAGAGGCAGATTTGGGAGAAATAAAAGGAAGCGCAAAGCGCAGTCGAATCAAATTGTGCTCGTTCTGGGATCGGTTACTTGTTCGCCGTGTGCATGTGGAGCGTGAGGTGGAAGTGTGCCGTGATTATGAGCCACCCTATTTCAAATTTAAAAACGTGCCGCTGCCACCGCGCGCACACTGCGGCACATACGGGCAAACAGAAGCATGTATCAAACACTGCGATAAAAGAAAGATGCTGTAACCTGACGATAACCTGTGTAGTGGACTTTTTTTTTTTTTTTTGCTACAGAGTGTGCTGGGCCAAAAAAAACAAACAAAAAAAAAAACCGAACGCATCCTGGGCTATTTACAGCATATCAATAGAAACCACACACACACACACACCTCATCTAAACTAGTAGAAAACCACAATCGGAGGCATCGCGCACATATTTCATGGACCTGCGCAGATTTTAACAAGCCGGCGAACACAACGCTGTGATCCCCTGCCCTTGACATGAGAGCGTGTAGGCCTGTGTTGGGCTCGATGCTCTGAGATTACAATGAGCCGAACTGTTGGTGCGCGTGGGTACATGGTTTCACTGCAGATCCGCTCCGTCCAGAGCTCCCTTTGCCCCCGGTGCGTCTCAGCAGTCTTCTTCCCCCCCCCACTCACCTGTCTTGGTCAACAACGCCGACATGCCCCACGCTGCTAAGAGGATACTGCAGACGAAGCACACCTGGACGAAAAGCATCTCCCTCCTCCTGCGAACTTTGAATATCTTCGCAATTATAGTCTTTTTGGACGCGCTCCCGGTGTCGGTGTCGTCCCGCTCCATGCTTCCGGAGCCCGGCCGGCGTTCACTTCTTTGCGTCCTTGAGAGCCGAATAAACTGCCGTCCCCCGCTTGCCTCTTCACACGGAACACAGCCGGGTTGTGATCCTCATTTCAATCCGTTCAGGGTCGCAGATGGAGAGTAGTGAAGCGGACAGTTGTTTTCTTTATCTCCCCCGCTCTTCTATTCTGCGCCGTTCAGAAGATGCCTCTAAGCTGCCGGGACCGTGACTGCTGTCCAATGACACGGCGGTCAAATTCCGACAAGGGTCTCCAAATCAAATCACTTCAGCAACGCTCCTGAATTCGGCTTCTGTAGCTACGAGGATGGATATCGGACGGCTCCCATTGCAACGTGTATCCTGTCCCGTGACAAAACAAAAAAAAAAACTCCAACAAAAAAAGAAACCATCAGCGGCAATATCCTTTCCCGGTGTAGTTTCAATCTTAAATGCGTCGGCGTACGGCACATTAACGTGAACTCGCTCAGCTGCGCGGCATCGGGAACTCCACGCACCTGCGCCTGTTAAGTGAACGCAATCTGTGTTCATCAAGGTTAATTGTCGAATTCGGCCAGCAGTCGTGCAGCTCTGCTCGCTCGGGGCGCCTCCCCTTCACATGGATCCCTCCTCAGTGCAGAAAAGCAGCGCTGACGCGAGAGAGAGAGAGAGGACCATCAGCTCCCTGTGCTCACAGCTGCTGCCCTGCCACCTTCAGTGAGACCGGGCCCCTTTAACTTTCCCGAGGACTGCATGTGCGAACGGCCAGTAAAAACATGCTTTCGCTGTCCACCTTCAAAAAAAAAAAAAACACTCTCCGGGCTCATCGATCACACCTCTGGACCCTTCGCGGGGTGCGGAAACCTTTTCACCTTATTTGCGCGTCTCCGTGAAATCAAACACACAGGTAGGATGTGTGCGCGGCGAGGCATGCCCTATCACGCTGCTCAAAAACAACACGAGTCACGCGTATATCTCACCACTGCTGTTATGAAACCAAAGCCAATATCTGTTTCTGGGTCTCCCGAACACAGTCCTCCTTCTTAATAACTCCAAAGTCACCTGCTATCCTCATTTTGATATCATGTTGAATAATTGAGGTTATAGATCTTCGGGCTCAAGGGTATCAGCGTCTGCCGCCCCCCCCCCCCCCCCCCCCCCTTTTCAAATCTACAACCATGTAATAATGTCTCATTGCCTAAAGGTTTTTTTTTGTCCAAGATTATAATGGTTCATACGTTTTGCCCTTCAGAAAATTGCTTCACACAAAGAGCGGTTAGACCTGCGCATACTATAAATGAATAATGTAATGGGGACCTTTATGTCAGTGTGGCAGTAGTAAATTAAATGTGGGTAAATATGTCCTGCAGTCATTGATGTTAAGTCAAACAATTGCCATTATAAGGGAGGGAAAAAAATCAATTCTGCTGTGTATTGAGAAAAGCATTAATATCAACGAGTCTCACTTCACTTTTATGTGCCGTGAATGTTCCACAAGCGTATATGTCAGCGTGAGTGGGATGCTGAGTGGAACTGGATTTAGCCTTCCACTACACCCATAATTAGTGTTTGATAGTTGGCAGCCCTACAAATGTGTCACCCAACAGGCCAACCGAGGACTCTGTGGAGTCCTGGAGGCTCCAGGTGATTGGTGAAGCTCAGGTGTCGTTGCTCACCTATTATTTGGTGTTAGCTGTCACCTGGAGCTGTGACTTCGTGCTACAGGAAATAATTGGACAGTTATGTTCCCTGGACGCCAAAAGTGGACGTTCTTTGGAGAGACTTATATGCGAATGGGCGCTATACTTTGATATAAGTAGCCAATTATTTACGATGGTGCAATTCGATGTTGTGGTTAGGAAAATGCACCACAAACAGAAGGGATGTTCCCAAGATATTATCTGTTTTATCCGTCGTTCTTGTATTGTGTCCTGCCTGAACAACACATAGATGAGAGCTTCACACTTGTTTCAAAAGCACATTTGGCAGAAGTGTTAGTAAGAAAAGCCCTGCTGTTTGCTCTGATGCAGATCTCCCCTGTTATTACCAGCTGTATTTTTAGACTGCTACTGGAACAATTAACTTCCCACTACTGAACTTTTAATAGTTTATTAATAGATTGAAAGAAGTGTAAGTTTCCACTTCCAAGAACTTTAAAGAAATTGTTCCACATGTTGGGAAATACACTTATTCGCTTTCGTTAGAGAGAGTTAGATGAGAAGATTAATACCACTCGTGTGTCTGTTGCTTTAAAGCTACATTCAGGAGTTAGCTTAGCTCAGCATAAAGACTGGAAATAGGGGGAAACAGCTAGCTTATAGCTCTGTTTGAAGCTGACAAAATCTGCCTGCCAACACGTCTGAATCGTATTTGTTCAATCTTTAGAAGGCACAAGTATAAGAATTACATGTGCTGGACTATTTCTAGGTGTTTATAATATAACGTGTTTATTCGAGGTGCTTTTGAGAGACATGAGAGTGGTATTGATCATTTCATCTAATCCTCAGCAAGAGAGAAAATAAATATATATTTCGCAAAAGTGTCTAACTATTTCTTTAACACTTGAGTTGCAGTGCTGTCTTAAGAATTACAAACAGCACACGCATGTGTTGGGGGAATTGTGAGGCTGCAGTGCAGAAGCTGGCTCCAGGCCTGCTGCGGGTCACCTTAACATCTCCACACAACAGGTTGACAAGGTTGAAACAGCGTGTCAGCTCTTACATGCCCACTTAAACAAAAAAACAAAAAAAAATGAGCAGCATGTAAGGGTCAAAGGGCTCACACTCCATTGCAATCTCCCGCATACCGAGGTTATGTAAAACCAGGGCTGTCCCTGTGGGTACAGTACGAGGCAGACCTCCAACAAACATTGGCCCTCATCTCTGAGGAGCATCCAAGACTTTGTGTGAAGGCTGCTAGTTAAGCATGGAAGGGGTTGCAGGTTATTAGACAGGGCTTTCTGAATCTGGCGCCAGGTCTCATCTTCATCCTGCAGCTTGGGTCTTCTGCATGCATACACACACACACACACACACACACACACACAGAGACATACACATCAACATGTGTGACCGATGGCCTTGCCAAGGGATTAGTCCCCTCCAGGCCCAGGCCCACACAGCAGGCAGGCAATTGGGGAGCAGTGCCAGGGCCTGCTTACAGAGATTTAGCTACTGCTTTACACTCCCTGGCCCGGTCAAACATACATACATGGCCTCCTTTGCCTCCTGCAGGACCCGGTGAACGGCCGCCGATCTGCAGCGGAGATGATAACGTGTGTGAACGGTGGTTTTAGCTGCCCGGGGAGACGGTGAGAGAATGGCTTTGTAGGAGTGTTTTAATGTGGGCAGATGTCGAAAGGAGCAGTCAGTGTAATGCGAATGTGTTGTTTCATATAAATGCCAAGCATGTGTCATGTCCTTGCACTGCTGATCACTAATGACTTGATGTCAAGGGTGTTAACAATGAACTGTGTGAGTGTTGCACAACGATTGAGTCAGCGCTGCTCATGTCAGCTTCCAACTCCATTTCTGCTGCGATGATTCATGTGGTTTATTCACTGGTTTAATGCATTAGCATCCAGCAGGACCCGGGCACAGTTTACATTATGTTTTGCATTGTAGGCTTTTGAATCAAGTGCTGACAGGATGTCTCACTTCAACAATGCACTGTGGATGGATTTTCAGAGGTTCAATGGTTATGCACCGACTGAAGCTGAGTCTATGTCACCAGATAGTGAATGATTGTCAACTGCTATTTGCAATAATAACACATAGCTACAGCATGGTGAGGTATACAATTTGAAATGCTGAGTAAAAGACAGGAAAAAAACTCAAATTGTCCCATTTGGTTATTTCAGCAAGCTGATGCCGGAATTATTTAAATCCTGCGGTTGAGAAAACAGTCGCACCACATGGTCCATTAAGTAGTGGTTCTTGATATTTTCATCATATCAGCTGATCTTCCATCTGCAAATAGATTTTTCCAAGTTTTTCCATTTTTACATGAGCATTTTAAAGGACTATGTGACATTTGATAGTTGGTTAACACCGCCTTCCTAGTACAAATGAGAAGTAAATATTTCATTGCAATCTTTTGCTGCTCTAGCTTTACCTTTGGTCGCTAATGTTAGCTATGGCAAACTTTATCTCTTTATGACTCTTCTCAATTTGTGTCACTGTTACACATTATTTTAACGGTTCTATTTCAAAAGATAAACAGGAAGTTGTTGTCCCATCGCTCTGATCTAGGTTGCCTAAAGATGATGTCTTCAAAGTAACTGACTCTTGAGTATCTTGGGAAAAGACAGCTGACGCAGACAAGTGAAGTCGTCGAATGTATTTTTGTTTGATTTGAAGGACTAATTGGACCTTGTAATGAAATTGTTTTCTCAAGTCCTGTTTTTGTCTCTTTAACGTTCTGATAAAGATATTTTATATCCAAGTTAAAGCCTTCAAAAACGTGATTAAAATAACATTGTGAAAACTCTGACATAACTCTGAACATAGCTTTACACTGTCTTTGTTTATGTTCATGTGATACAAAGGGAGAAAAGGGCAACTGGAACTGTCCTTTCGTGGCGACACAATGCTGGGATATCCATGTATAAGTGGGACTGATTCTGCTGAGTAGTGTTTGCGGTGGATAGAGGTGACACTCAGCCAAAAAAAAAAAGCGTGACACCTTCAATTATTGCACTGCTGGCACTGTAACTAATATTTTACCATTTATCTGAAGCAAGTAAACAGATGGAGAAAGAAAGACCCCTATGAACCTCTTTTTTTTTTCTCTCTCAACCTGCCAACTATAGCAGAGCCCACTTCAGCCAATGGCTGGTACTAATAGTACAGTACAAGCTCGGCGTACATGCGCACACGCACACAGGAAATGTCTCTGGAGACCTGCTGATTTTTACTCCTTGCATAAGCTCCTCAGTCAGCTGCAGGAAAAAATGAAATATTAATCGTGAGCGTTGAGCATTCTGTGGCAGCACTGCAGGTTTATTTGTCTGCCTGCTCAGGTGTGAAGAGTAAACAGGGCCGAGAGGAGCAACAGAGAGTCTAATCTGTGTATTCTAGAGGCAGCAGCCATCTCCTGCACTGCCCGCTTCATCTTCCAGGACATGAAAACTCACCCATACAGCTGTCGTCAACATAAGGCAACTCAGCCAACCCAAGACAGCCGGCATCTGTACCAAACATTGTGATTCATACAGTGCTGTTTACGTGCAGGTGTGTATGGGCCAGAAAACAGCACATTTCTCATTTATGTGTGTGTGTTTCATGCCTTCTGGCTGTGATCTATTTCTTTATCTCTCAAAAAAAAACAACTCAGTTTCATAACACGATGAGCATGATAAGTGCCAGAGAGGTTCACAGTAGGTGCTTCAGTAGCTACACGAGGCGGATAAAATGGGACGCTTGTTGTATGTTATGCAATCCAGTACAGTAGCCATGTGATATGCTACCTCATTCCTTGTTTTTTTTTTTTTTTTGTTGAGATGGTGTCAGAAATTGGTCATTCACCTCTGTGGCTGCTTGTATCCGCTCAGGGTGAGTGTGAAATGTTGTCGAAAGCTCCAGAAAAAGCAAGTAAGTGGACCTTGATTCAACATATTGCTGTCAAACTACTGATTCAAAGGCAAGAATGCCCTTTCACGCTCAATTTGAGGCTGTAGTTTGTGGTGTTGCATGGACACTACAGGGTGTTCGTGTCATTTTGTCCACCCTCTTTTAATGACAAATGCTAAAATACATATCTCCTCAATGCGTCTGATGAAATATCTCAACATGTCACTCATTATTTTACCTTTATGTTCAGCTCTTTCTTATTTTTTCATTATTCTGGTGACAAACTCTATTAACAGTTCGTCCAAACCTGCTTACTTTCCATTTTTCTTATACTTCCCTCCACATCACCCTCATCCCCTGGACCCAAGACATCTATTTGACTTTTTAGAATGGTTTTAATCATTTGAGCATGAGCATCAGGACCATGTGATTGGCTACATTGGAGAGCCTCAGCCTTCTGTAATTGAGCTGCACATAAATAACTTCATTATTCTTTTGTCTGCAGAGCAGAAAAGAAAGGGTAGGCAGGCAAAGAGCCGCCTTTTCCCCTTGCAAGGAACAGTGGAGAGTCTCATTCAGACTGACCACATGCAGCCCATTCATTCTGGGAAAATAGCGTCAGAGTTGGATGCGCAGGCTACAAAGTCTATATCCATGCGGCAAGCAGCAGTCTCCAAAAACAGGGGGCAAGTGAGGGTGCGTTCCTTCATTCACTTGGAGCCGGGGGTGGAAGGGTGTGCAATAAAGTCAGTGAGCCAGTAGATTTCCCTGCTGTGTGATTTCCTCACCCTGCACACCTCCATGCTGGACACAAACGTTATCGGCATTGCGTAGTAGGAGGATGAGTAGGAGTTGTTAATGTCATAGTCGCATTATTCATAAGCAGGCACGGGGACTGCTACGTGCTTTTTGATGGAAAGGTTATTAGAAATGTTATTTAAAGTGGCATCCCGCCATTTTTACACATGAAGATGAGCTAGCCTTGTCATGAAGAGTACCGCTCAGGCTGTAAATACAGCTGGATCCTCTCTGCTGTGGCTCTGAAGGGAGCTGACATCAACTTTTTTTGTTTTTGTTGTTGTATAATTCTCTTCCTCTTTGACTCAGTTTTCACATCCCTCCACCCCAAACCCCTATTTGGCTTTTCTCACTTATCTCATTTGAATACTGGGGGGGGGGGCTCCAGGGTCACGTTGTGTTTGTGGTAGTTTGAATAATTGCAAAAATTTGTTTGGTAATACAGTATGCGGCACAAAAAGCACGACACAAATCCCTTAGGGTTGCGGTGACATCTGCATTGTTACATAATCTAGAGGCATCTCTTGCAGAGGGGATACTAATTTCAAATGTAGTTTTAAAGCCTTTATTAATCAGCTTATCTCATTTCCTTAATCAAATAACCACAAACTAACACGCACATGGGGTCAGTAGGGGCCCATAGCCCATTTTTGGTCTGGGGACCCCTCTAATCCAGCCATGAGTGGAGCCTTGGTCTATGGGAGGGGAAGATCATATAGTCTTGGTTCTCAATTTTGCTGATGACTAAAAGGTGTATTCAAAGAAAGCTAATGGGGTCGATCGTTGAGTTGATATCATTGTATCACACATACACTGGTCAAAATGGGATTTCCAGGCTCACGTGTTAACAGTGGCTTTACGTATTTGAGTTCTTGAAATCCATATGCCGAATGATAACATATTCATGGTCTTTTCCTTTTTCTTTTTATTGATTTTACCAGGTAAAAACTTGAGACCTTTAATGTTTTTGCTCTCAGGTCTCAAGTCATGTTAAGTCTTTAGGCGATTAAGTCTCAAGTATATCAACTCTCCCACCGGTCAGCCAAGTCAAGTTTTAAGTCACCGTTTTCTTGTGACTTAAACCTGGCTCAAGTCTCAAGTCTACAGCTCTGGTCCTTATTGTATCCGGCATGAGACGGCTAGAATTGGCCTCAAAAGAGAATGTGAATGACAGAAAGCATTAAATTCTGTTTGACTGAGGGTCTGCTGGCCACGGCTCAGAGTGCTGGCATGTCCACCGAAACAGCACGAAGATAAAACAGTTGTAGTGCTGAGTCACTTCTCTGGATTCTCACTCCTCGGTCTGGGCCTCTTCTCATTTTCACGTCAGCATCGTTCACTGCAGATGATTCAGCCTTATTACGCGGCATCGCGTGTCATGCCAGAGAGTCATGCTGAGTTTAGGAGAGACGTCTGCAGGGGTAAACACAGGGAGCGAATCCTCGTCGTGTTTTCCAGAGCTTGAATTAATCATCGGCAGGGTCTCCTCATCGCTCTCAAGGTGGTGTCAGCGATGTCACATCGGATGAGGCCGGCTCCCTCTGATGTGCTGAGCGGAAAGAGCAGGCCAGCCAGGTTTGCATTCTGCTGACTGGCTGGAACCACATGTCAGCCTGAATGCAGTTTGCTCAGAGGCGGATGCTGCCCTCATCCAAGAACGTGTTTTCCTGATCCCATTGCCTGCGTGGCCTCAAGTTACAGACAACCAAACTGGTCAGGTTTGTTTTGCTCTGGGAGGAGAAGAATGCGCTGTTTGTACACAAGCCAAGTAAAACAATCTCATGTGATCTGTCCTAAATATCCAGTCACATACACATGATCGCTAAGTCACCCAAATGCCTGTGCCAGGGGGAGCCAGTCGGGATGAGTCCCAGCCATGAATGCACCCAACCAAAAAAACGCATTGTTTCATCAAAAAGGAATCATGGCAGCTGCAGTATTGTGGGCTGTGAATAATCTGGCAGCAAGAGCCTTCGTGGATTTGTGCTCGTGAGCGTCCCCGCTTTGTGGATGGGTGTGAAGAGCAGGTTGCATAAGAGGATCACCTCCGTAATGGTGTAATTCAGGATTCCTGCTCAACACCGCCTTTCTATGCGAGTCTTAAGGAGAGGGTGGGCAGGAGTGGTTCTTTTACTGAAGGACAATTACCGAGAGGAAGATGCTGGCACATGAGGATTAGCCACAGAGGCAGGAATTATGGAAGAGATAGACGGGAAGAGCATGCGAGTGCCTGGAGGGGAATTATGATGTGTGGAGTGGGGAAGAAAATGAATAGGCTGAAAACAGGAAAGGCAACTCCACCCAAACTGATTTTTAGAGAAATATCTGCCAGTTACATGTAATTTAGATGCAGCTGTCGGCGATGGGGGCTTTGCAATCATTTACAGTTGTCAGTTCTGTAGTTTTTCACCAAGTGAGATATCTCAGAAATGACCGATACATCTCAGACTCGAAATTACAACAAAGAGACTCCACATGAATGTGGAAAATTTGAGCGGTGAAATATTGCACGGTGTTATAATTTCTTTATTTTGATGTTATTATTTTCCGATGGTGAGATAAAAGCATAACAATGGTAACGTTAAACAACAGTGTGGAGGCAAGAGATGCAACACATTTATTAAATATCTAGCAATTCTGTCAAAGGACTGCTTCGTATTCGTTCACAACCTTTGCTTGTAAAACAACCGAAACAAAGCTCCAGAGATTTCAACGTGATGTCCATTTGGGCAAATGACAAATTCCATTCTTTGGCGCTGGGTATCATGAGATTTTCGTGCCTTATTATGCTAAGTTTGAATATTGTGAGGTTTCATAGAAATTCGTCCCCTTTTCACATTATTACATTGATGTCATTGGCATTAAGTGGTCTGCTTAGTGAGTTGACCGGGAATTCAAAAGGGATTAAATTCATTCATCCTCCAGTCGACACAGATGAATGGAAACACACACACAACCAAGATTCTCCTTTCTGAGCGCCGCTTCGTGCCAATGAGTACAGTGTGAAGAGCAGAGGGGTGGTCAACACGGAGCCAGGTTATGGATTTATGGATTAGACGTGGTCTGACAGATAGGCAGGGGGCACTTGTTGAGTTGAGAGCAGATCTCTCGCTGGCCTCCAGGGGGCAGAGCCTCAGTGCCCCAGGGAGACTCTGCCCTGTGCTCTGGGCTTAGCTGCTCGTTACATTAAAACAGGGGCTTCTGTGACAGAGTCAGCATTATGAAAGCTAAGAGGATTAGCTGATGGACATTTCTGGCGTTGCCGGTCAATTATCAAAATGAAAAGCAGTGACTGGGCAGGGCTGGCATGCTCTGTGGCACAGAAGAGCTCCTCTCTCTCTCTCTCTCTCTCTCTCTCTCTCTCTCAGCATCTGCCTGTCACAGGTTACTGAGGTTCGGGGTGGGGTGGGGAATAAAAGGCATCGTTGAAGCGTTTCTGCCTTTCTGAACATGAACGTTTGTGTGTGTGTGTGTGTGTCTATGTCTGTGTGAGCCACGGATTAAAAAAAGAGCATTTAAATTTTAATGTTTCTAAAGTGCAAAACTGTATGTTATGCAACTGTGTAAGAACAGGCCTGCACGTCAGCCAGCCATCAGTGCTCAAGTGTAACTCCTCCAACCATGTGCATGATCACCCCCCACACACACACACACTGCTTTCACTGCCCTACTTATGTGCGTGCGCCCCACAGTGATTGCTTAACAGGCTATCAGTGTAGGAGGAGTCTCCACCACTATGCTGCACATGTGATGTTGGGAGAGTTCTGGATGATGAAGAGTTGTTGGAGGATGATGGGGGGGGGGGGGATGGTATATCCGTAAAAGTGGCGTTCCACAGCTGCCCGTATTAAGGATCTTCCCCCGGGATTCACACAGCGCTACAAACGTAATCAACCAAGTCAATGTGCCACCGCGGGTGCAGCGGACACATCTCTCCGGCAGTGACACCCTGCCTTCCCCTCCATCCTCAACAGCAGCAACATGCCTTCTTATCGCCCCGACTTTCCAATACGCTGGTTAGACCTCACTGGAGCACAGCAGAGGTGAGGCTGTACATCCATGTGTGTCTGAGAAAGATAAGAAAACAAACTGCTGAACCATTTCATTATTTATTTTTTTACCCTGTCATGAACAGCCAGGGGGGTTTATTTATTTATTTATTGCTAGTAGGCTGAATTATATTCAATCCCAGTTATCTCTTCAGGGACCATGTCATCTCTCCACTGTATTACAGATGGTCCTGCCGCATGGGCAGATTTGATATGGGTATTCAGGGGCCGGTTAGATGCAGCTGAAAAATGTCTCCATCTGGTGTTGCAGCGCTAACTAGTTGAACTAGCAGGCAGGACATGTGTGTGTTGATAGATGCAGCGCATGCAAAAAAAATAAAAAATAAGGACAGAGCAGGGGATCATTTGGGTACAGTTTCTGCATCGAAAATGATACTTTTCAATAGATTAGTTTGAGGAATATTCACTTTTAAATTGAGCAAAATACACCAATTTTACACATGAACATCAGTTTACTTGTCATTGGAAATTTGTGAAAATTTTGAGAAAATGACTGATGATGTCATCAGTTAGTTTGGTTTGGTTGCGAGACATCAAATCAGAGAAAGTATCCTGCGTTACAAGCTGGAGTTTTGGGCGTTTATCAGACAGTAGTAGCTCAAACTCAGGATACCCGGGCCTCTGCTTCTGGTCGGTCTCTCACCGGGCCCTTCATTTCATGGAAGTGCAATAACAAAAACACAGGAGCACCCTCTTAATGTGGCACGACCGGCCACACAAGAACGTATTTTCGATAAATTCTGTCTAAAATAACCAAAAATTCCTGTTAACCTGAATATATGTTCAAAGTACTACAGAGTATTACACTAAGGCTTTACTGTTGGAGTGGAATAGTCTACCTATAGTATAGTATATCTATCCTGTGATATTTGATCTGGACTCAAGTGTGAAATATATCTGCTACCTAGTGGTCTCAAGAATAAGTGAAGAGGACAGAGCTCAAGAATTGTGCCAACTTTTGATTCTTTCCCATTTTACTCAAAAAAGTAATGAGGTTTATTACCCAGCCCTAACTGTTGACATCTGAGACAAAGCATATTTGAAAAAAAAAAAAAAAAAAAAAAAGGATTTAATGACAGAATAGGAGGGGGAAACGCATCCTTTAGTCCATCCAGTGCATCAGGATGTTACTGTACAGAGGGAGGAGTTGTAGTATCTCTTCACACACATACACACACACACACACACACACAGAGAGGTCAGTCCAGGGAAAGCATCAGCCTCTCGCTTTGTGGAGGTAAACTAACAATCATAAAAAAAAAATTCATCATCTGGAAAAAAACTACTATAAAAAGGGAAAATGTACAACTGGGTTTGCAGGGAAACAGCTGGAGCTGCCCATGAGGCAGAGTGTGGTACACCCTTGTCCTCTGGGTAAAGTCCTTGTGAAGGATCGTCTCTGTATTGCCGCTGTATGCTCTTCTGCAGTGTGTCGTCCTCCTCCTCCTCCTCCTCCTCCTCCTCCTCCTGCTGCTGCTGCTGCTGCTATACCACGGCGTACTGCTGATACAGCAGCTCCCGGATCTTATAGTAGTCGTCACACAGGCAGCCTTCCAGGCCAATGCGCCCGGCCTCCGTCTGGACAAAGAAGCACAGGTCACATGGGTCCATTCATTAACACTTTGTACGACATGGTTCCCTTTTTAAACATTGAAGTACACGCACTGAACAGCCCACTGCTGACCTCCAAAATAAATATCGGTCCAATTCATTCCCACAGACGTTCACAGACTTTCTAATGAAGCCATCCGCTCCAAGTTTTCCCTCTTAAATACCACACGCGCCTTTAAGAGTCTCAGTTCTCTTTGATCTCATTTTCTGGGTTGTGTCTATTTTAAGTTCTTGTCAATTATGCATTTTGTTGTTGGTATCCTGGCTCACTCTCAACTTTTCTTTTTTGCGGGGTTTTTCTGAGGTGAGATGTATTCATATGTAACTTTTATTTGAATCCTCCTTTAACAGGCTGCATTTGCTTCTCTTGTGTTTAATGTTCCACTTTTGGTCCGACACCGGTAATTTATCTCATCGGGTAGAAGTAGACAAACCTTAACCTCACATTCGATAGATACCTCTGCTATTGTTTATCTAGACTCAGCTGCTGTATTTACTGTACTACATTACTGTATAGACTGGTCTGCTGTATTTACTGTACTACATTACTGTATAGACTGGGCTGCTGTATTTACTGTACTACATTACTGTATAGACTGGGCTGCTGTATTTACGCCATCTAAAACAACTTGCCCGACAGTCCATCAATGTGTCACAATGCGTTACAACAATTTTAGTGTCTTTTTCAGCTGTACGGCTCTAAGGCAATAAATACCCACATCATTGGTAATGTATTTAATCTGTGCCTGTTTGCTGCAGTCGTAAATAATGGTTGTGTGTTTCTGGGGCTTTGACGGGTACAATAAAAGTTACTGAAGGTTACAGACAGGAGATGTGAGAGGATATATTTTTTGTGATAAGCTAAAGGCCTTTTAGGGTCTTTAAATATGTTGGACAATTAATTATTTTAAGTGTTTTGTACAGGTCCTTTAATTCACATGCTTTTAATTTCATTAAAACGGGCTATATTTCAGCTATGCAACTTCTTTGCACAGAGACCTGGAATTTTGGCTCAACATTTTTATTGCTTGGTTTTGGCGGTACAACGAGCCTACGTCGTATGTCTGTGCGGGCAACTTTCCCTGTGGGGGGGGGGGGGTAGTGGTGACGAGTGTGGCAGGGAGCTGACGGATAGCACACTCGCTGAGCCAGTGGGAAGGACAACTCACCCTGCGGACGGCCACCATGTTGTTGCATACCAGCACGCCTCCCACAAACTCGGCCTGGATGCCCTCTCTCAGCAGGACCTGCTTAAAGTCGGAGAGGCGAGGCTCGTTGATGAACACCGACTGATGTCCAGAAATCTGGAGGGAGAACAAGAAAAAAAGACGCGTCGGTTAGACTAAGGGCTGTCTGAATTGCTTATGTGTCCTTGTGAACACATAACAGTGGAACTGCATTATAATGCCTTCTCAATCAGAGCCCAATGGGTGTCTGTTGACAGCGCACCTTGGGCTAACTGTCTCCCAACCTCTTTGCTGACAACATGGAGTCTTTTTTTACATAAAGATTCAGTAGAACGATGTCTATGCTGATGAGTTTGACACGAGAAGGCTGTCTGCACATTTATGTGCTGAAGGGGGAAAGATTCTCCGTGCTCACCTTCAGTCTGAGTTTAATAAGCGTCTGTACGAGCATGATTTGTGACGGCACAACTAGTGTGGAAGATAATCATGGTCAAATAACACCAGTTTGTCATTCAAGGGGAATGTGCTTCTCAGTGAAGTGGGAGACTTATTATGACCGGCACTAAAACCTTTGAAATTAAAATCTTTGCATATTCATACATTCTGGATTTGTTAATCAGGGAAAGGGAGATGATGTCATTCTCAGCATTTTGAAAAAAAATTGACATTTAATTGTCACACCTATCGCAAAACCCCATAACTCATATTCAGAAATAATGATGTCTCACCTCCTGTGGAGGCAGTGGCTCCAGCGTGGGAATGACGTCGCTCTCCTCAGACACCTCCTTCTCGTCCTCCCCAAACAGGTTCTTAATGGCTCGCTGTGCTGCCACCGCCGTGGCGTTTTGGTCGATGTCGAGCTCGGGGGCGACATCCATGGCCAGCTCGCCGTCCTCCGTCTCCTCTTTCACACCCTCCTCCAGCATCACGCCCGTGTCCACCTTCACCACGCGCATGTCCAGCACGCCATCGATCCAGGCCAGCTCGGTGTCTTTGGCCTTGCAGAACTGCAGGGAGCTCACCAGGGAGTCTTTCAACCGCACCTTTACCGCGAGAAGATGAGACAAGATGAAGATGTTCGCCTGTCATGGAAGCTCTCTTCTGTGCTTTGCTAAAGAAATCAACCTCGTAGCAGTTAACTTTTTGGCCTCACTTGTCAACCGACAAAGTTTTATCAGGTTTTACTATTTCACAGCAGAATATTTTTGCTGCATGAATCTATTAAACACATTTAAGGATACATGATAGACCTACGTACAACAATCCTGTATATCAAATCATCACAAAAATGCAACCCGGCAGGCTTTTAGTGCGGCTGACCTGGTAGATGTGCGTTTCACTGGTGGCGTCGATGGTCTCCTGCAGTTTGGGCGTGTAGACCTTGATGTCCTTGCTGAAAGCCTTGCAGGACTCAGCCAGGTCCAGACTGGCTTCCGCCGGCCCACGAACGATCACCAACTGCCTGGGCTTCATCTGATTAATGATCTTCTTGATGGAGTCGCCATCAGAGCGACCTTCGTAGTCTATGTACATTATCCTCGCTCTGGAAGAAGAGTTAAGTTAGCATTGTTTAGTATCCTCACAGATAAGATTTCTTAAAAGACTTGAGACGACACATATTGGGAATTAAAACCTGCAGAGTTCTTGTTGAAGGATCACTGACCTGATTTCAAGATTTTCTACACTGGAGATGCATTTGGTGGGAACCACAGAGAGATCCTGGTCCATGGGCTCATCGCCGTTGGTCAACCCGGATTCCAGTTTGCTTTTCTCCTCCTCTGTGGCTTGCAGCTCAGGAACCAGGAAGTCTTCTAGTCTGCGAAAGAACAATAATGGCTTATTGACGATGGCGTCAAACAGTCGGTGTAAATTCTCTGTATGCATCTTTATGTAATCTGCCGTGTATTAAAGGTTTTGCACCTGATGATTTCCCCATACTCGTCCCATTTGATTCTCTCCTCGTGTGTGGGGAACATCGGATAAGACTTTTTGGCCTGTTTGAAGAAGCTGCCTTTGCGGCTCCCCTCGCTCTTCATCATCAGGTCATGGTGTTTTGTTTTCACTGGAACGGGCTGATCCAGATCATCGTCCATATCGCTCTCGTCACTCGAGTCAACATCCACCCTGCAAGCGCATGAAATACACATTAACTGTACACATACATGTTTCATTTTCCCACAGACAGGCAACAGATTTTCGCTCAGTTGCAGAGTGGAAATGTTGCCTTAAAGTGTCATGACTCATCTCCCATTTACAAATTTCCATTTAAATAGACTCAGATTAAATTTGCAATCTAGAGCAGTATTTGCATTTCTGCTGGCTTTTTACATAATTTCCTGTTTGAGCTGTTAAAAGACGGTAAAATAAATGACAGGTTTTGTTACACCACCAGGCATAAAGCATCATGAAAAAGAGACATCCAACCCTCGAGCACCCAGTCGACCCATGTCTATTTCTACTTACTCTTTTGCTTGTTCCAGTTTTTTAGCTGCTTCTTTCTTCACTCTGTCCTTTTCAAGGTATTCCTCCAGCTCCTTGCCCTCGAGCTTCACTCTTTTCCTCACCTGTCATAACGAGAAGAGTGAAAGATGGATATGGAGCAAATGATGAGTCGGAATGTGAGATAACAGAGCTTGTCGTGGGGAAAACGCAGCGTAAAGAGACAATCTGAAAACCCTCCGTCATGACAAATCAGCATTGTGACCGCCGGTCTCACCTCCAGATCCAACATCTTCTCTCCAGGATTGTCAATGAGGTAGCGGGCCAGAGTTCCAGGTGTAGTGCGGTACGTCAGGATGACAGAGTTTTTGGCGTCTTGGCACCACTGGATGAAGAGTTCTCTGGAAAAGCCAGACTCGAGGTCTGGTTGGCTGCAAAGCACCACTTTGGGACTGGGCACCCGCGCCAGGTCTGCCAGACTGTGGCACAGGGTCAAGTGGCGGAACTGGAAGGGGTTGTTCCTCTTGTCTTCAAAGCACCTCATGAGCTTGTCACTCATCCACTCCACCTTCAGAAACAAAGCGGATTAAGTTCATGTAATTGTGTACATTTGTTATATGTGGCAAACAAAGTGATTCTGAACTATCCTGGTAAAGTCACAAGGAAGGAATAGTACAATATCCTCTAAAGTGTAAAAATCGGTGATCGATACCTGGGACTTTGAGAACTCCACCACGTTATAGCTGACATTGTTCAGCAGAGCGAGGGGGTAGGCTCCCAGTCCAGCGTCTTTTGTCCTCCAAATCTGGTCCAAGAGCTGAGCCAGCTCCAACACACGCCCAGCTGTGTCCACGGCAATAAGGACATTTCCGTCACCACGAAGGGTCTCCATTACATTGGCTGTGAAAAAATATATGAAAATATTAATGAAAATAAACAACATTGTTCTCCCATTGTATTCAATGAGTAGTTAGAGTAGATGCAAAACACCAAACATCCTATATTTTTTACAAAATATTAGAAAAAACTAATACTGGACAGAAAGAGAGAACTTAAATGATAACTTGCTCATTTGAATTACATGCAGGATTACATGGTTATTTTCTTACACCACAAGACATGTTATAATGTGATTGCAATACATCTTAAAATATAAGTAATTCAACTGAATAAATATACTGTTAAATACAGACATTGTTACTTAAAAGTCTTGTGAAGATTACTTACTAAGGAGCAGCTCATCCCTCTGTTTGCGACGTGGCTGCACATATGTAGCGTTGAAGGAGTCTGTGATAAGTAAAGACGGACGACTAATGCTCTCCAACGTGCAGCCGTTGAGGTGTCTAGAATAGAGGAACGGAGTTAAAACGGGCATGAGCTAACACGAGATTAAAAACTAAACAAATCCAATTTCATATCAATGTTTTGTGCGCTCACATTTCTCTCTTGTGGTTGAAGTCAACGGCATAAACAATCTCCTCCTCGCCATCCTTCACAATTTTCCAAATAGTGCCTCCAATCATGTGTCCGGCTGGAAGTGGAGTGATGGAAAGCCCATGTCCTTTCCCTGTCAGGTAAAAAGAAAGACGTGAAACACAAACAGTGGTGACTCCTGTCCTGACCTAAACGGGTCTGCAACTAACTCACCTTTCAGATTGACAATCTGAGAGTATTTCAGCTGCTGGATTTTATCAAAAGCACAGTCCACATCATCGAGGGTGAACAGTGTGAAGTCTTCACTGTTGTTTCGAGACTAAGCGGAAAGAATGAAATGATTAAGAAATCATCGGTAAATATGCGATCAAGCTCTAATAAATAGCTTTACATGCAGTACATTCCCCCACACCCCCTTCCTACCTGATATAGATCATACATGAACATCTGACCCATCTTGTAGACAGGGATTGTAGCATAGATGGTGCAGTTTAGACCCAGTTTCCCCACAGCGTATGGCAGGGCTCCCAGATGTATGGGGTCAGGGTGGGAGAGGAGCACGGCATCGACCTGATGAACATATCTGGAGGGAAAAGAGGACATCACACTTGTTTGAATTTGCAAAACAGAGGGGGGGGGGGGAGTGATGGATTTAGAAGATTGATAGCACAATTACCGTTTCATAGCATCGATGATGTCCATTGAGAAGCTTTCATCCCAGCCACAGTCCAGGAGGAAGCGGAATTCATCCACCTGCAGCAGGTAACAGAGGGCCGACTCCTCCTGCACCCCTGATATGGCTGTCAGTTTGATAATGGAGGTCATGTTTCTTCAGTTGTCACGCTGAAAGTAAACTTAAGTTAGCAGGAGGTTATGCTTACCACACAACAAATAAACAAAACTAAACCACCTACTTAAGTGGTGTGGCTCTGTGCAACTTTGATGACGACTGAGCACTCATTCAGTTCTATTCATGTAATCTGCAAACATAGACACTTAACTGGTTGTTAAATATGTGGCCGTCTAATTAATTACAAGTAAGTAAGAAAAGTAAAGCAGTTTGGTTGCTAGCCACAGCTAGTTCGCACTAGCAACGTTAACAAAGTAACCGTTAGCCGGCAGCCTGTCTATTTAGCATCCTAGCTACACTTAGCTTGTGGATGCAACGTTAAGTGACTTGGGTCGGCAATGGAAGGTGCAACTTACCACTAAATAGGAGATACTATAATTTCCTCCCGTTGATATAGAAACACAATTGGTAAATGTTCTATAATTCCAACATTAAGACATTTTGTCTAGCGTTTACAGTGCACACTTGACTAGCAGACATGTTTACCGCTGCGTCATGTGTGAAAGGGCAAAAGAGCGTACCAAGTATGGCCGCGTTAATAAATAAAAAACTATTTCCCGACTTAACACCAAATGCTCATTTTATCGTAGTACATTTTAATAACTGTTCTTGAATATATTTAATTAATATGTTGTAACTGATATTATCACCCATGATAAGAGACATTACGGTAATACATTTTTGTTCTTGTTCAAATGACACCGTCGCATTGTCACAGTTGGTAGAGTCCAATGTCCTCTGCCTACTGAGTGAAGAGCTAAAGGCCACTGCTTGGTGTAAACAGAAGGTAATATTTTACATATTCGTTGTGCGTCTTTGATATTTGAGTCATTGAACTGTAACATGTTGATTTTGCTAAACACCTAACAATTGCTTTAACTGAGAAACCATTCTCAACGAAAACCTGACACACATTGCTAATGTTAGCTAGCTAGCTAACAAGTAGCTGTGGTCTGCGTTGTGTTTAGTTATTAAATTACAGTGTGCAATATTAAATGGTATTACATGAGGTTTAGAGATTACCTTCACCTCACACCAATTAAATATAAGAGAGCTCTGTCTGACAAACGTCAGCAACAATGAAATGACTAAATAACACGCTCCATTATGTTCTCAGTCCGAATAGTGTCCACGCAAATGAGGTCATCCAAAGGCTAAAAACAATGTTTTAGAGGTTGTCATCACCTATCATGATTTGTCACATATAGTTTTAGTTGTGCAATCCAATCAATCCCAAATCAGAAATATATATGACCAGAATATCTGTCAGCTTTATTTTTGCAGTAGCTTTAGTGTCACAGGTCTTGTTGAGCTCGTCTAAATAAAGATGGCCTTCCTAAAAGAATTGGTAGTCCTGTCTCCTGTGTAGTTCCTCAGATGTGATGGGGGTTACCTATTAATTATTTCAACTAGATAGTGTGATACCACTTTTTTCCAAAGATGTATAGGCCCTTTCCACTGACTACAGTAACTCTGGGCAAAGTCCTTTCGAAATGCATGGCATTTCATTTAGTGACTGGCAGAGCAATCTATTGGATATTGCATTAGGTTTTCATTAATGTGATAGTACATTTTGTAATAGTGTCATGTCAAATGCAAATATTAGTATACCCGTTTTTGACCAGGGTTTAAAATGTGCCACAGAATCTAGGTTACAATGTGTTTTCTGCTTACTTCTGTAGGAACCATGGTCAACTTTGTAGCACTTGCCCGGGAGCATTGGGTGAACATACTGGTGCCCATGGGCTTTGTGATCGGATGGTACCTCGACAAACAACAGGACCAGAAGCTGACAGCTTTCAGGAACAAAAGTGTTTTGTTTAGCAGGTAAGAATAAAATGTCCCCGCTCTGTCTTAAAGTTAAACAAGTCCCCCTTTGGTTTTCAGTGGATTAAGGATCCAGTGACATTCATTTCAAAGTTGTGTGATGATGATCCTTGCTACTGCAAACCCACTCACCTCCACTTTGAACTAATTACTAGGAATATAAGTAAGCAGAATGCTCGGTGATTAAAGGAAAACATGTAGTTTGTGTTGCAACACTCAACTAACAGCTATCCAATATACAGTTACTCCACTTGACCCAAATAAACATTAGAGATGGAACCCAAAAGCCTCTAGTTGTGTTTTACCATGTATATTTGCCAGTGCACTTATAACATAAAACGTAAGTACAATTAGCTTTTTAAATGTTTTGATAATAAGCATTTTGAAAACTTGCCTGATATTAAGCCGGTCTCTAACGGCAGTGTTGCTCTGGGTAAAAGCTTATCCAACTTTTGTTCTCTTTAGGGAGCTGAAGCCTGGTGAGGAGGTGACCTGGAAGTAGACTGCCCCTACCTGGATAATATGTCCCGTCATCTGTGGTGTCCCTCGAATCAGAGTATTTAAGAAGACTGTATCTATGTATTTCAGTTGTATCAACAGACAATAAACATGCCCTTTCTCATCAAAATAATGTGGTACTTGCTGGTGATTGATTGCATAACACATTACACCATTTCATTCTTTTCAGAAACTGATTTATTTGATCCTAGACAAAGAGCAAAGTCATGAATGGGGTTGTTGAGCATGACTAGTTCAGTAGAGCTAATTAAGACAACTTGGGGGGGGGGGGGGGGGGGGGGGGGGGGGGGG